AAATACATATATTAAAAAAGGGCTTGCTTTAAGGCTTTGCTCACATAAAGTTACTGCTCCCTTTGTGTAGGGAGCCAGCTCTGCCTGCCCTCGCTGACAAAACCACGCTCCTGCCCACCCCTATGGCAGCTGACCACAGAACAAACAGGCCATTTCACGCAGGCTTTTGAGATGGTTTTAGTTTTTGTGTTTGCTCCAATGCAAAACAAAAAGAACCTCTTGGACTTCTCTGCAAAAGCAGGGTCTTGTTGAGGCAGCCGTTTGTGAGCAAGGAAGGCACCGTTTGCGTTGGGAAGGCTTTGCTAACGGAACTAAACCGGCGAGCTTTCCTATCATGGGCGCATCTTGCCATGGCAAGCAAGGTTTATGTTGGTTCCCTAAACGGGTGAGCGCTCTCTCAGCAAAACTACACCTTTGCTGACACAGCAGCTTTTATCCTCTGACTTTTGCTGGCTTAGCTATATTGATTTTTTTTTTCTTTTTAAAAAAAAAAAAAGAAAAGAAAAAAGAACAAAACCAAACCAGCATTTGTCCTTACTGATAAGCTGACAAAAATTTGCAAGTGATTGAGTGACCTAGTAATGATGGCACAGTCAGAGATGTGGGGGAACCAGGTTCAAATCCCTGCTCTGTCTGATGCAAAGCTGCTCTTTTTTGGGGTTCTAGATCAGAACCACTAAAGTAGGACATGGGAATCCTGCCATTAGCTGCTTCTTTGCAGATACTCAAGGTCAAAGGCCTAAATACCACATTTCTGACAAGGAACAGTCTTGTCCCAACAAAAGTTTTCACTCAAATTACAACATTTTGGCTTCAATAAATCATGCTGCTTTGGGAAGAGAGAATTTAGCTGAAAAAGTGTTCCAAGCAGCTCTAACCCTCACGCATACAATTAAATATCCGCAGTTCCTATGCAGTACAAGTTGTGAGAACGGTTCAGTTCCTGTCGCTAGTTTGCAACATGCGTGAGCAGAAACGACGTCCTGGAGCTGCTTCATTGTGAGCAGCCGCAGAAGAAATTTTCTTTAAAAAGGGACCATGTTAAGAACTGTGGATCAGGTAAATACTAAAGAGGGGCTATAATGACACTGCTGCTTTCAAGCAGAGGGAGCTGTTGTACAGGAAGAGAAGAGCAACATAAACCACACAGGGACAGGGCAAGCGGCGCCGTAAAACCCTGCATGTTTGATAGCAGCAGCCGTGAATCGCAATGCGATTGCCACGAGGAACACAGCAAAAGCCGCACGTGAACACCCCGACCTTCTGAATTTCCAGGTGTAATCACTAACACACATTCTCTATAATTGAACAGGAAGGGGATTGCACTGCACTTTTCTTACCAAAACAAAAGGAACGATGTTTTTCGTAAACCTTGCTGTAGGATTTATACTCAAACCCAAACGCACCCTCAAGAACACCGTCAAGGCTAGGACAGCAAACACTGAATTCACGTTCATGTCTTGTTGAGGGCGAGTGCAACTGGACTGCGTGGGCTGGTGTCTTGTTTTTGAAAGCAAGCAGTGCTAGCAGCAAGGTGAAAAACAGATTCTTACCTTTTATGCTACCTACAAAAAGCAAGTTCACTGCCACAGCACCCTGACGGACTTTGGGGCAGCCTCCAAGTTAACAGAGCAGTTAGAGCCATTTGAGGTTAAGAACTAGCACGACAACTGCACACCTACCCTAAGGCTCTGGATTCACTTTACTCGGCTCACGCTAAGCCAGATAACAGTGATTTTTAGTCACTAGCAGTCAGGACCACATTTCAGTCTCTGGTCTGAAAGGCGCCTTGACTTGGATGGAGTTTACGGGCTGGGAAAAAACCCTCTCCCCAAACCCAGAGCTAAGCCATTGCTGTAATGGCACATGGCTCGAACACAGAAGTGACTCAGCTTCAGTAGTTTACTAAATTACTACATGACTTTGCATTACAGGAGAGGGAGCGTGCACAGGACAGTCCCGTGCAATTTGGTCACCGTAAAATGGGCATGAATGGGGCTCGGTATATTTAAAGAGGAACTTTTAACTTCAGCTCACTGAAGGATTCCTTTACACAAATGAATCATTTATGAACAACGAGGAAAGGAATCGGGCTGCAAAGGCTGGCTGTCAGAGATAAAACCTCTTAACTCACAAGCACCGACACAAATTCTCTTTTTAAAAAGAAAAATAAAAAGGAATTACATGTAAAATAATAATTGCCACTGGTATAAATGATGGAGGTTGTCCACTGCCAGGCAGCAGCAGCGGCAGCAGCAGCCCAGGATGCTGGCCTCCAGGTAACCCTTTGAGGAACTGCATGTTGTAGCTGTTGTCTTTTTCTTTGTGCTCGAGCCAGCCACAGAGTATGTGAACCTGTTTAAAATAGTCACAATTTATTCATACTTAGCACGCCATATATTTAACTACGTCAAACCATAGGTTTTCCCTTCTCCTCTACGGCTCCTCATCAAAATCCACAAATGTTTCCTGGAGTCCAGGTGTCAAATTTTTCTTCTTATTTTCTGAGCCTCGCTTGTTCTGGATTCATTTAGCAGTGCAAGGAGTCAAGCAGGGGCCACTGCAGTTGCTGCCTCTGGGATCCCTGGATTTGAAGCAGTATGAAGGCTCTTAAAAACCTGAGCTCTGCTAAAACGTTAAGAGTCCCAAGAGCACCGCGTTAACGGTCCTACGTGCAACGCTGCTGGAACGTGTAACTTTATTGTGGCTTCGAGCAAGGGACCGGAGCTTGCCATGGGCACCAAAGATTCACACTCGGTTAGCTTAGTCCTTAGGCAGCAAATCTGGAAATACAACCGATACAACCTCTGTTCGTTGCACTGGAAAATTAAAATGCTAACAACAGCCTGACTCTTCCTCCTTCCTTACCACAACTGCGAGGTTCCCGCAGCAGCCGAGAGAGGGCACTCCAGGCCAGCCCAGCTCCCGCAGGAGCGCAGCTCCCCAGCCGAGGGTGAGGATGAAGATGATGAGGAGCAGCCTCTAGGATGCAGCAGACCATAGCTGTAACTCAATTGGATGTAAGTGGCTACCATGTTTTCTGGGGTTTTGTTTCTGTTTTCCTGTTTTAAAGGCTCATATGAAAACGTACGACAAAGCTGCGGGTGACTGACATTTGCTGTGCAAAGTCACTCTCACTTAGTTACAGGCTATATTAGTTTTGGCATCGCTCGAGATCTAAATTCAGCTAGCCTGACTTCCTAGAATATTTTAGCTTTCTTCAAGCAACAAACTGCCTGCTGCCACAAAAACACTCCTCGGAAAACACACATCAAAAATAGCATGGCAAAGGATCCCAAAAGAAACTTTTTTTCCTGTACCAATTTTGATTTATCTGAACAATTTCACAAGTGCCAATTTGTATACTGCAGGTTTTTGCGAGAGCGCCAAAACAAACACATGTTGAGGCTCAGAGGTCAGAGCAACCCAGCGTCGTTACATTTTGCATGGGACCACTTCCAGGTCTAACATACATCTCCATATTTAAGACTCTGCAGTTTGCAAGTGAACAAGATAGCAGACTGGAAGACTCTCAACCACAACACTAGAGCATACTGTACCGGGAACACACGCTCGTCAACGAGAAGGACCAAATGCATTTTATGCTCATCTTGCTATTATGCCGAAGGAAGGCAGAACTGCACATGGAGTAGTTTACCTGTATGCTCAGCTTTGTGAAAGACTCAAAATACTCATCCATGCTCTCATTTGTGAGGTGCCACTCGATGCCTTTGCAGAGCCACCCTCCACACACACAGCAACAATGCCAATGGGATGCAAGAGTCAAGGAGGACAACCAACCTGCAGCCTTTCCAACAGAAGGAGAAGAGAGGCAGCTCCAACTCCCTCCTTAAGGTGGCCTCAATTTAGGACTGAGACTGAAGGTCCAAACCTCCTGTTCATTCACTCAGAGGCTGACAGGACTTGGCCTCAGGAACGGCCAAAGCTACTCTAAAACCTGCAAAAACATCCCTGAAAAAGTGCTCAGGCCATTTTTGTTCGACCCAGTGCATGGGCAACCAGACCGAATTTCAACGGTCTGTTCCTGCCTCTTCCACTCACATCAGGCTGCAGTCAGCAGGACTGCTTGGGAAGGCACGCAACGCACAGCCTCTGGCTGCACCAAGAAATAAACTACAGGCTGATGTGCTGCAGTAATCTTAAATACCAACTTACGCACAGAACGGTATTCAAGGGAGAATGCTGAACTTTTTTTGTGATGTAAGGGAAAGCGCTGGAAATAAAACATAAGTATTTATTGATCTGCAGTGAGGGAATAAAGCAATGAATTTCAGAAGCTCTAGTGCACAGCCAGCATTAATCACAACTTCTGTTGTGGGAAATGCCAGCAAAGAAACAGGAATTCACAGAGAAATTTAGAAAAACAAAAACAAAACCAAAACCATCCAGAGTCACACCCGAAAAGAGGGAGCAGCAAAATAAGAGTAGGCGGCACGATGGGTGTCCCACACCGGGCTGTCATCATCCGCGATGTGAAATCCGAAATCTTGTCGGTCGTCTCCAGCAAGAACCAACACAGCGCACAGCGACGACTCAAACCCATGCAGGGCAGGCGAGCACCACACACGGGGATGAGCAGCAGAGTTGGGACCAAAGCGCCTCCAGGGACCGATCAAACGAAAAAAAGATCTCAGGCGCTACTGCGATTCTCAATAAAAGATCAAAGACAGGCACTGAGTAGGGGAGTTTTGAAAGCGTCGCCGTGCAGCGGACTCAGGTCGCTATCTTTTAATTTATCAAACTTCTCAATCAACCCAAGGTTTCATCTGCCTTTCGTATTTGCTCCCGACAGAGCTAAAGTCACAGGGATTACGTTCATTAGACTCTCTTAGTATCTTACACTCTCAGACTTTCCAGCTCCAGAAAAAACATGCTGAATGCTGACTACGGGGAAAAGCCACGGAGATAAGACAAAAAGCCCTGAACTCATAAGGAAACGGAGGAAAGCCACTGTGTGATAAGATAAAGTAGAGATAGAGACGTGTGGGAATAAAGAAAACACCACCAATGAGCCAGGGGAAAAGTTATAAACGGTGTCACCTACATAACCTGCAGTCAGTGGTCTTACTGCACATTCTGAGTTTGATCAGCGTTTGGACTCAAATAATCCCTGCACTAAAAATCAACCAAGAGAGCCCAGCAGGGGCTTGCACCAGTTTGGTGTGCTGGGCTCAACACCATTACCAGTCTGCGGAAGTGCAGCACGGGTTTCCTTACAAACCAGAGCTCTCTGCATGGAGAGCTTGCATCATGAACAGCAAACACATGAATTATGGAAAATCTGCACAGAAAAAGCTGAAAAAACCAAAGTGAGGAGACAGGACAGGCTGGGGTTTGGGGTTTTTTGTAATAAGGAGATGCAAACAGTGACTTGGCCCAAAGAAGACTTGCAACAGTAAGGGTGGTGGAGAAGACAGGGGGACAGACAAAAATGTTGCAGTGAAATTTAAGTCTAACACACAATACAGTAAAACAGAGAGAAAAAAAGTGCAACAGGACTACTGGGATTTGGGGAGCAGCACCGTCCAGCAGGGCGAGGTATTAAGAAAACAGAATACCCCATAACTTCCACAAGTTTTCAGAATTCTCCGTGCCTATCCATCAGCACCAACAGTATCCCCCTGTACTTGGCACTGGTGAGGCCGCACCTCGAGTGCTGTGTTCAGTTCTGGGCCCCTCACTAGAAGAAGGATGTTGAGATTCTGGAGCGTGTTCAGAGAAGAGCCACAAGGATGGGGAGGGCTCTGGAGAACAAGCCTGATGAGGAGCGGCTGAGGGAACTGGGCTTGTTTAGCCTGGAGAAGAGAAGGCTGAGGGGAGACCTCATCACCACCTACACCTCAAGGGAGGTTGTAGAGAGGTGGGTGCTGGTCTTTTCTCCCAGGTGATGGAGGATAGAACAAGGGGAAATGGCACCAAGCTGTGCCAAGGGAGGTTCAGGTTAGAGATAAGGAGGAAGTTCTTTACTGAGAGGGTCGTCAGAAGCTGGAACAGGCTGCCCAGGGAGGTGGTGGAGTCACCATCCCTGGATGTGTTTAAAGAGCGGGTAGACGAGGTACTTAAGGATATGGTTTAGGGGGTAGACAGGAGCGGTTGGACATGATGGTCTCAGAGGTCTTTTCCAACCGAGCGATTCTGTGATTCTGTGATCTACCTCAAATCTCATCGGTTCAGGAGAACACATTCAGAGCTGCTGGGGTTGAGCTTTTACACGCCCATCACTCCACCAGCTCTAGACTAACACAGCTTTTGGATAAGCAGTTCCACGGCTTCCTCGAGTCTCAGCTACATTACCTTACCCTTGCTGAGATTTGCCCAGTGTTTAACAGAAAATCCAGCTACAGTTTTGTCCGTTTACATTCTCGCCTTCTCTTGCAGGCAGAAGACATCTGCGGAATAATAATGAATTTCTTTGGTTTGGGGTTTTTTTGTTTTTATTAAAAGCTATTCTTCCTAGCAGGAAATGAAAAAAGAACAACCAGTTTGGTAGAGTTTGGGGGAATAGGGAAAGCATTTCTAAAGGCTAATAATAATAATACTGCTTAGTATTTATTTCGAGGATATGTGACAAACTAAAGAAAAACCAGATGTTCTCTGTAATGCTCCAGTTTCTCTGCAAACTCAGGTATTGCCCAGAGAAGCGGCTGCTGGAGCTCGCAAAAGGCAGCAGGGCTGTCCCTAGGATGTGCCACTCCACTCTGGACATGGGATTCCTTCCTGATTTCTCCCTGGAAGAGCCAGACCCCCCTCCAAGGCCGGCATCCCCAAGGATCAGGGCATCCCCAAGCCCTAGCACGACTTCCTGCAGCAGAGCTCTGCAGCTCCCCACCTCAGCGAGCTGTTCCTGTATCTGTGTCTCACGCTGAGATACACAGTCTCTTTGATTTCTTATTTAAGCGGTTTCTGGTCTCCCAATGCTCTTAGTGCTGCTGCACTGAGATTTTTGGAAACCACTAATCACGAACACCCTAGAAACTTCACCAGGAATGTGCCTGAACACATTCACCAGCTCTTCAGTCCTGGAAAGCAGTATTTAAGCTGAACTCCAAGAGAATTTTTCAAAAAGCTATACTGAATTCAATTCACGACACACTATTAGGAATTATTTTACAAACGAAGCAGCTTAATATGATTTAAAGGATGCAGAACTTTCCCATAGGGGGAGAGAAGCAAATCCTCTGTGAGATGAGTAACGACACAGTTGGTACTGGGGCTTACAGAACTTTGATGTTAATGAATGTGGATGGGTTGTAGAGATGGGAGAAAAGCTGCCCTTATCAGTTTTCCCAGTACCAAGCTGATAGCCATTGTAAAACTGCTTTTTAATACAGCTGTGCAGCTTTTGCCACTAAGCCACAGGTTCCCATCACATGAGCAGGTGAAAATGTGCTTAACAAGGACGTGAATATGCTTCCCTGTTCATAACAAACTTATGGCAAGGCAGACATAGCTCAAATTATCAACAAGAGGGCAAATGTTTATCCAGCAACATGTCAAAGCATTCCAGCCCCCACGTCACCGTTGAACAGTCCAAAAAAAGGAAAAATTATCATCTAGTTGAATACCACCTTCTACAAATAAGAAGTCATTTTGCTTTTTTTGCAATTCTACATCTGGAGCCTGTTTGTTTGGGGCACAAAGAAAAAGAGGAAAGATATTTGGAGACACTTAAATTGCTTCACTTCCTGTCGCGAACGACCGTGTGGTGATTTTGTTATAAAAGAGAAAATAATTGGTTCCCATGCCCCCTGGGAAAAGGACAAAACATAACCTGCTGAACGTGCAGCAAAAAAAAGACACCCCAGTTCAACAGTAAGAACAAAACCGTGAGTGATAATGAATATTGATGAATAATGATAATGAAGATAAATCCAAAACTAAGGCAGCTGCGGAGTCCCTAGTGCTGGACCACAGCAGGAACCCCTTGAGCACCGACCCAGGCGCACTTGGTGCTGGTTTGGGTCTGGCCGACGTGAAGCTGATGCAGTGCAGTGCTGTTTCCATGGATGGGGGGGTATTTACACCCACATCCATGTGAGCTCCTGCAGCCACACAGGACCACAGGGCAACTGGGGACTAAGCAAAAGCAGCCAGGGACTGGGGATTTACCTTCCAAGCACAGGCAGAGAGAAACAGCACCTCACAGGTGTGCCTAAGAGCTACATGAAGTGTCAACCCTCTAATTCCAACCCTTGCCCCCTCCAGCTTCATGCACTTTAAAACAGGTGCTCTAAAATACTCCGACTTCAGAGCACAGTAAATTAAGCTCCAGAGAAAGTCCATTCAGCTTTTTCTTTAATTTGATAAAAGCTCATCAGACCATTCAAGTTACCTTCTGGTCAATACTGCCTCAAGAAATCTGCAATTCAGCTACCTGTGGTTTTTCCGCTAATTCTGTAAAACATTACTGACAGAATCTGCTGGGCCGCATGCATCAGATCTTGGGTCAACACTGTTCCAGGGCCAAAGTCCCACTTATACTATTGTCATCTCTTCTGTTTCTCTAGAAGTCTTCACCTCTTGTAATTTTTCTTTCCTCTTGCTTAACGCCCTGGGATTGCTGTAATTTTTATACAGTATTTCTCCTCTATTTTAACCTGATGACACACCATGCCCTCTTCTGTTTTCATTTCTGTCTAAGAAAAACAACTAGTCTCAACAACGGTGGCTTAGCTCTTGACTTGCTGGCTTGTCTACTGACAGAAAACAATAAATATGCTTACTGTAGCCCCCTGCATCACAGATGATCCCAAAATACTCTACAAACAGGGCACTGGGTCCCTCACTCACCATCAAGACATACTCGCTGCTAACTGTGCCAGCAGCACTACATAAAAGTTAGTTAAAAGGTGAAAAAGAGAGCAACTTCTCCAAGTGAAATTACAAGGAAATTAAGGGAGGTAGGGTATATTACTTCACAGAGAAGTTGGCCAGAAGACCATACAGCACACGTTTTTAATGGCCAAAAGCAGGGCAGAGTTCCTGGTTCAGGCAGAATCACCAGCAAGGCACGGCTGCTCCTCAGGTCTCTGCTGAGCGTGACACAGGATCAGCTGAAGAACGCCCAGGACATGCAGGGCCTGTGGGCACGGCCGCTGCTGCCCCTCCTCCTGCAGGCTTTTCATCTCAGCTTCAGCAAGAAAAAGCAATGCCCAGCCTAGGAGCTTTGACGAGATCCCAACACAGTGGTGACAATAGCAAAATACACAGAAGATTGCATTTTAAGATCTCTTCAGTGTTGCTGACTTAAATAAGCCATCACACTGGGAGAAAAAATAATCCCGTGAAAGCGATCATTTCAAGAATACACAGGACCAGCCTCCCCATGCACCTCCCCTCTGACCAAGTATTGACCCTGCGAGCAAAGCAGCAAAGGTTTTAGATTTCCTACCACATAATTACAAATCAGGACCTTCAGCAAAGGGGAAAAAAGATTTTCTGAACAGTGTTCTAGATAAATACAGTCCTGGGACATCAAAAAGGGTTAAATCCACCCTCTTGTTCGAATGGTATCCCAGAGTTTTAGGAGCACGTGTACAGTCCTTTCAAGAGGACTTTGGTAAAAACAGAAAGAACCATTTTAAGCATTTAAATCCCTAAAGATAGACAAAAGAAAACACAGGACAAAGTAGAAATACTATTGATTATGCATAATTGGTATAATTAATTTGTAATTAGTTCATTAAAATATATAGGCATTGGAATTATGCTTGTACATTTCTGGGAATATCCTGCAAGTCACTTGGGATATGCTTATCATTTATTTGATAGATGAAACATTATTAGAAAGACAGCCCATTAAAAATTAACATAATAGAGCAATAATTTCTTGATCTCAGCGTTCAGTTTTCTACATACTCAGATTCCCATTCTACCTCACGAAGAGTTTTTATTAGTACTGCTTTTCAGAGCTTGACTTGGGAAGTGCAGCATAACTGAGGCACACTACCCTCTAGGCCATGTATGTAGTCAGTTTTGAGGAAACAAAGAGACAAATACCATAAATTATATACCCTGAGAGTATTCAGCACCGCATCTAACTCTATAATCAAAATTAAGTTCTGTAATCAAAATAAAGATGGAAAGGTAAAAAGCCTCAATACCAAAGATGAACGGAAGAAGCTTCCACAGCACTGTAAGCAGCCCGGTCTCTGATTGCTCTGCATTCTTCCACATCTGCAGCACATCTGGCATCGCTCACAGCCATCCCTGAACGCATCTGAGTGAGCAGGATTCCAGATTAACAGTCACCAGTCCCTCACAAGAAGCGACTGAAATGGGCTGGCGTACACTGGCACTGCAGCAGCAGTTCAAAGATGCTATCAAAACTTGATGTGGGGGAAAAGTAAGGTGGAATAATAGGGATTTGCCGTTGTTTCTCCTGTAATGTTATACTTTCCTATTCCTACTGATCTTTCTGAAGTCCTGCTGATATTTCTGTAGCGCCATTTCAACCAAAAGCTACAAAAATAATTTGATCTTAAAAACCCACAACACAGTCACATCACCCCCATGTTGGGTAACACCAGAACACCAAAGTTTCCTTAAATTTCTGTAAGGGACAGACAGAGAGAGTCAGCCCTTCTCAGTGTAATTCTGAGCATGACGAATAGGCCTTCTGCTCAGCATCACCTCCTAAAAAGTATTTTCCTCCCCATTCTGCCTCCACCATCACTAATGGGAGCCTAAAAGGGTTAGCCCCTCGTTGATGCACCTCATTTAGCCACGTGAAGCCAATGCAAACAGGCCATGCGAATATCCGTCTTAATTTGATCCCCCCTCTTCAAAAAAACAACAAAAATCCCCCATACTATTACTCAAAATGAGCAAAATTAACAGTGGGTATACACTACAAGCAGTGCTATTTGCCGTTATAAGGCTTGAAACTTTTCTATTTTAAAGAAGGGTAAAATTGCAAAACCATGTAGAAACCAGTCAGGTCTCCAGGCCCTGGAAGCCACAGTTCAACACTTCACTGTCATTTTGTGCTTCTCAGCAAATCTGCTTTAAGAATTCTGAGCAGACTCCCAGGAACCACAAACCTCTTTTCTTTTTCCCCCGCCTCCAATCTAGCACGGACAATTATTTATTTTCTTTGCCCTGCACTCCAGAATGTGATGGATGTATTTACATAAACACACACACAGTCAGAGATATCTCTCTATAAAAATTAATCTGCAGATGATGAAAAGTGCAAAAGATCTAAGAGGCAAATCCCAAACAAAAGAGCATACTTTAGACATAAATATCTTGAAATTATAAAGATCTGAGATTAAGTGGTTTACCACTCATTTAGAATTGATTAGAATGTATTTAAATTTAGCTGAAAGTACCACAACATTGCTCATGTATTTGCATCTGCGAATAAGTAAATAAAAAGCCTGTTATTAAAGCCTTCATTAATTCTGATTATATGAGAACTTAAAAGCAAATCTGTGTATCGCTGCTCTGTAAAGACTCCCAGCAACTCTACAGTAAAGCTGGCACTGCAACACAACATGTGTCAGCGAAAATGACTAACAGGAGCTATTTTCAGTAATCTTAAATCACACTGGTAAAATATAGAATTAATGGTTTTGCATAATGCTTCAAATATTTTCTATTCCAATTCATTCCCGATTCATGCCTCATTGTATCAAAAAGTGAATTTTATATCACTTGACATTTATGTACAACAGGCAAACACGTTTTATTAAACTACAACTTCTAAGCAGCATTCAGATGTGATGTGTATATTATTATGAAGAGTGATCCAGCTATTTTATTTCCTTATAATTATGATGACTGGAGGTTTAAAAATGTATCACACTGACTAGGAACATTTCATTCTGACTACAGATTTGAGAGTTTCTATATATTCCATTGAAGGCAATGCTTTTGAAAGAAGGATTCACTAATTTTAGTAGAATTTTCCCCCACTTAAAAGACTTCCTGTTGATTTCAAAGGAGTTTAACAATTAAGTATAATCTACACCAAAATGGTTCTTCTTGGAGAAATCAAATTTTAAGTTATAAGTGGGAAGACAGACGGCAGACCAGCAGAGGTCTATACTCCATTTATAAACGAAAGGTGATTTGAGGCAGTGAGGGGAGGAAAAGCGAAAGATTCATTAAATTTGGTACATAGGAGATGATGCTGCAATAGCCAAGAAAGTCTGTTTGCCACTCTCATAGTTGAAAAGTCATCCCAAGTTAAAACAAAATAAACCAAAACCCAACCTCCTCCCAACATTTAGCCATTAAACTCAGAGTTATGAGGTGGAGTTTGATTAAAGATTTTGCACTTTATCACATCCAATAATCAGACTGGTTTAGGAGAAGCTCTACACTGTATTCTATAGAGTTGGCCTCAAGATAAATTACTTCTCCCTACACAGTTTCTAGGCCCAAGTGCTGAGTCGATTTCCCAGTAATCAGCATCACAAAACACTTTAAGGCACCATACAAGACAAAGGGTCAAAGGGATTTTTAGTATTGAGTTATACAAAAAAGTATACCTGGTAGTCTAAAATGCTGAATCCTAAACCATTTTTGTCTTTCTCCAGTTCAATAACCTTCACATCAGGAGACCAGAGCGCTAATTCCCCTTCTTCCTCCTCAGGATTAATGTCTTCCTCAGGTTTCATCTGAAAATTAGAAGGACTAGTTCAAATACTATTCTTTCAGTTCTTTACAAACACTATTCCTCCAATATTTTGATACAACACATGCCTTGATATATGACCTTTTATGGAATTACAATGTCATTGATACTCTCTTGGGACTGGGAGTGTCAAAACTGCATGTTTTGAGCATCAGAGCCCAACCTGTCATACAAACACCCACGTATTAGTCAGTTATATTTATTACTAACCTGTTACAAGCTGATGAACTTCAGCTGTCCCATTAGATGCATAAAGGAAAAATAAATATCTTAGCATAAGAGATTTAACCACAGACAGCTAATAGAAAGACCAGACGATAAGGCACATCCGATACTTGTGGTATTAAATATGCAAACAATAAATTCTTATACAAATAATATCTAATTTGTAAAAGCAGCTTCTTTTTTCCCTACCTTAGCACAAAGATTGTGAAAGAGGTATAGTTACATGATTCTGTAGGTTAAGGGCAGCCTCATAAGTAGTTCTTCAGAAAAGGGATCTTGTGTTGTATAACGTAAAATTCATTTTTTAACATTACTGCTATTTTACCAATACAATCTTTAGAAAATAGCAATGTACGACGTCCCAAGAACACCGTTAAAATCATGTACTCCTAACTTCACACTGATTTAGCTTTATTTCTTTGGCTAAATATGCCTATTACACAGAGCACTGCCATGAGGCAAAAGGAAGACATTTTTCTTCCACACACTCTTTTCTTGATACTTTGACAAAAGCAAGCAGAAATATTGTGAGATTGCTCTAAGGAGAAGGCAGCCTCTTCACTTAGAACCACCTCACGGCAAAGATGTACAACCAACAGGGTGCACATGGAAAACGTTCAGTAAAATGCAGCATCAAAACCCACAGTGGAACAAGTCCTGTTGCAACAGAAAGGGCCTTTTACAGAACAGTGTAATACTGTACACCTTCTTCTTCCACAAAACATCCGTATTTCTTGTTTAATTCTCCACCTTAGAGGAAATTAGATCAGAAAAGAGCAGAAAAGACGAGAAGTCAAGCTGTAAATACTTTTTATAAATAGGAACAGCCATTACAAGCGTCAAGCCTTAGTTTGAGATTTTAAAGCTTCTGCAATGGAAAGAAACGTTAAGTTTCCTTTTTTTTTTCCAGTTCTATAAAAACCTACTCAGAATATGGAAGTAATCAGCTAATGGTGGCAAGGATGTGAGTTAGTGCAATCCAGAGCTCTCAATCACCTATTAAGTGTAAGAATGATGAATGAGATAGATGTACACAGTCAGCACGCTAGCTTGGTGATTTACCTACCTTGTATTTATAGTACAGTGAAGTTTCTCTTGACCAACCTATATAAACTGTAGTTTATACTACAAAAGTATTAATGTTGCAAACGTGAACTATCACTGAAACACCAGTTGCCTCTTATGAGTCTAAAGTGAATGGTAAAGATGGCTTTATATGACAATTTAATACAAAACTGCCTCATATAACTAGATATTTTCACTAGATATTTATATTCTATCATTGTCCTTTTACCAACTGAACGAAAGGAGAAGTCTACCTTTGGTTCTGGAGGGGAGACTCCCAGGGTGGGTTCATCCACAAGAGACTCACTGCCATCATCAAAAAGTCGCCGACAGCAAACCAGTGTAAAGGGGGGTGGCACTTCCTTTAGAAAAGTGACCGCCTCACGACGTGATTTTCCGTACAGCTGAACTCCATTCACCTACACAGAAAGAGAAGCACACGTCCACATCAAGAGATTTAAAGGGATATCAACCAGATTCTTTTATTATTTTTACAGATGTGTCTTTCCCCAGCTGAATGCGAAAGTCTAATTTTACCTAGGGATGATGGCAAAGCTCACAGAGTTAAATCAATTTACGTTTGTGAAGCACACATGCCTTACTGTGGGGCTTCAACTTCATCTGCAAGATCTTGTGACTACGGCTACATCATGGCTCTGCTCTCTTCAGCTTCCTCCAATTTGTTTTCTGCTCGCTACTCCTCCTACTCTCAATCTTTCCTAGCATTGTTATTTCATTCTCACCTGTTTCTTTATTGATTTCTTTTTGCATTAGGCTTATATGTTTGAATTTATTAAAAAAGATAGTATTTTTCCAGAATATTTTAAGAAAACACAGATTTTGAGCTCTAATCAAAAACTTGAACGTCAGAACTATCACAACTTTGTGAGTTTAAAATGTAACAAAATGGCTGTAACTGAAATAGAACCTACAGACAGCATGCAAGAATATTCCTAGAGTAAAAAAGAAACCAATTACAGTAAGCAATTAATCAGAGAACCCTGACAAGGGTCAAAGCTTACCAGCCCATAAGCTTTAGATCCCAAGTGACAACACAACACCATAAGGCCATTGCTAATGGATGTCTTAAACCACAGACTTGAGGAAAGAAAAAAGGAGGATAATAATGCTGCTTTAAAAATGGGATACTACAGTTGTACTTCCTTGGGAAAATAAACCTACACGGCTTCATCCTCTTTTACATAGTTCATAAACGCAGTATCATGAGGGTACACCTACTTGCACCACAGCGATACCCTTAAAAATGAGGAAAGCAGAAGAGATGTCAGATGTGAACATCATCTATGCTGATGAGCAGCGCAGCACCAAAAGAGCAGGGGTTTAACCCAATTCACGTTATGGACTCAATCCTCAAACTACTTGTGTTTCAGGAATTTCTTCCAGGCTACCTCAAGTCTGCTCTTGTGACCAAATGCCCACAGGGCTGGAGTGCAACCGCTGGCTTAGGAATCCAGTTTGCATCACCCAAGTCCACTCCACAACATGAATCAAAGCACAGTAAGTAGGAATAACTGATGATTCCCTTCAATGCTTCGACTCCATACTCCAATTGCAATGCTAATGTAGATGAACCTGCATTTGATCCAAGAAAATAGCGTGTAAATACACAGCATACACATACACACCTCTGTACCCGTGTACTTGAGACAGTCTCTTCCCAGATCTCCTTGTACTTTAGAGTACTTTAGTACTTTTAGTACTTTTAGAGTACTTTAGTACTTTAGTACTTTAGGACTCAATCTTGTGGAATGTTACACAGCAATCTCACTTTAGCCAACGTTTTCCTTCCAATCACCTCTATTTTTTCCCCCACTTTCTCCTTAGTGCTTTTTATGGTGTAAATATAGCTTCTACTGCTGGGAAACAGAGAGTTCCTCTCACACTACAACCCAGCCAAGGAGAAAAATTCAGAGTGGCATAACTGGTCTCCACCATGGCAAGATGAACTGCCACAGGTTTTTTTCTGCAAGAATTACAGCAACTGCTGAGCTATCAGCCTTATCCATTAGTTAATTATTTAAGCAGGAGTATCTACGCGTAAGGATTTTTTAATGCATTGAGAGTGGCGGTGTGGTGGAAAGTTACCAGCACTCCTCAGCGGGCTGTGATTGATGGAGAGGAGCTACCGTGCACTCCCAAGCAGACTTGGGGACTCCCATTTCTCCATCTCCAGCTGCCAGAAATCAGCCTCTAAACTCACCACACCGTTCTGGTTAGCTGTGCCATCAAATAGGAGCGAGGGAAATATTGTAAAAAACTAGAAAGACACAAGGAAGCAATTTACTCCTGAGAAAGAACACAATTAAATTAGCTAAAATTAGGGGGAAATAAAAAAAAATAAAATACCATGCTTTCTGTCATTATTCAAACACGTCATTAAAAAGTTCAGCCTCTCCATATATTAAGAAAAATTCCTCGCTGATCACATTTTAATCCCAACTGTATCAGGCCCAGGTAGAGCTGCTTGTTTGGGGAATGGGGCTGTCACTTTTTCCATTGCAAACCCCTACTTAAGGGGATTTATAACTTGGCTGCAAAAACATACTCCGGGCTAAAGCTGGCATATATAGCTCTAGCCCTGGAGCACATTTTTCTTTTGTTGGGGTTTTTTTTCCAGCTACAGAGTAGAAAAAAAATGTATGCACACTAGGTCTGGACATATCTGTGAGCTTAATTGTAAGTACATGGTAGTAAGTAAAACTGTTGAATATGTACAGTTAAAGTTTCCTAAGTTACTTTACAGCGCTATTGCTTTTTGTATACCATTTTTTGTTTAGTGGCCAAGAAATTTAAACAACACTTCCAGCATCCCATTAATCCCTTCCTTTAGGAATCGAGATTTCCTCCATTAAGCAATAACTGAAGAAAGTGTTTCAGGTCTCAGTGATACCAGTATGAATTTTTGAACAAGTAAAAGCAAGAGAGCTGCACAGCTAACAAATTAATCTTTCAGAAGGCCTAATTCTATTCCCATTGATGTCAATTAAATGTTCTTTCCAACCCCTAAAAAAGGTTCAAATTCAAAATATTCCACAAATATTCAATAGGAAATTAATGTCTTTTCACTTGCTGGCTGAGATACTGATAGACATACACAAATACACACACAAAACAGGTATTATTTTAATACTATGAAAGAAGTATTTTTCCTGAGCAAACAGATCTGGTCCAATTCTGGTAATTTCAAAGCTGCTCCAATACCCCTTTATACACATTTAAACAAACTGATGGACCAGCTCACAGACACAAATGTTTTTCCAACACACAACGAGCAAGTTATAACACGTAACTACTCCTGAGATCGCTGTGAAATTTTTAGAAGTGACAAATATTAAGAAAGATTACCCACCACCAAAGCCAATGCCAAATGGCTCAGAAGACTGAGCGAAAGGGCCACAGACACAAATATATTTGACACAAATATTATCTCTGTCCTTTTAACTCTTGATATTCATGTCAAACATTTCAGAAAAAAAAGGAGGTCATAAGATTTTTGGGTTTTACCTCCAGAAGTTCATCCTCCGGTTGCAGAAGACCAAGCACTGCAGCTGGGCCATCTGCAGCAATTGATGATATATAATGGTGTCCATCAAATGTGTCAAGCTCCACTCCTAACCTCAAAGTGTGGATGGGTAAGAGCTGCCAAAAGATAAGAATGGTGACAATGTGTATATATATACACATATATTTAACTACCACAATATAAACATATTTAGGGTTCAATTGCTCACCAAATTAAACTAAACACACAGTAAGATGATTAAGTCTTCATACTGATATCATCTGTGCTACAGCACAGGTGTCCAGAATTTCTTTATACAAACTGTTTGCACAAATAAAAACAACCAAGCTGTCCTTTCGGTTAAGAGGCAATTTGAACTGTATTCTTAAATAAGATTACTACACTGGAAAAAATGCAGAGAAAAGTGCCACCTAAAGTCTGTCCTACCCAACAGGTGGGTTTTCAACTAAACTGAAAGAAATTCCATAATCACCATAAAACCCCACCACAAGATCAGCTGCCTCACTCCTTTAGGAGCTACACTACTTCAAGGCAAGAAAAGTATCCACGAAGTGTCCACTGCAAATAGCTCACACTGGAGTCCTTCTTTCTGTAAGGTGAAATCATTACTTTTGTGTTGGCCTTTTTCCTTCTTAATTTGGAAGTTATCTCTAGGGAGCCTCCAGCCATTCGTATCTTACCAATATTAGGAAGACTATAATCAAACGGACACACTATCCGGACAAGACAGCAAAAGTCATGGCAGCCTGGGGAGAGGAGGGGATAATTTGCAGTATCTGCTCCTTCAGTTTGGCCATTTTCTGGCTTTTTATTACTGAAGTTGAAACACTGACTGTCCTTCTGGTTCCCAATGAATTCTGGATATTCAAGTGAAAGGAGCAATCCACTGATCCCCAACACTCTCTCACACCCATGTCTGATTTGTGAGTTTAGGGCCTTTCTTCACTGAGACATCCCCACAAGCATATAAATGCATCACCTCCAAAAAAATGCTTCTGTACAATATTAACATACACATCTTGCAAGTCTCTACAAAGCCTCAGAAGGCTGAAATTAATTTCAGCTCTGACCATTTTGATTAAACAGATCCCATCTCCCTCTGTGCCAGGATCCCTCTCTGCAGGACGATGACATTGCTCAGCAGAATTTCAACCTCTGCTTCATTTTCCAGTGGCTTTCAACAATTCTTCTACAACTGAATTTCAATACAATTAAATACCCCCAAATTTAAGGCCTATATGCATGGTTTGGGATTTGTTTGGGTTGGTTTTTCTCTTTGTCTGGGGGTGTGGGGAGGGGTGTGCGTGCGTCTTAAAAGGTTCATTTGTACCCATGTAGCATGTACCCATGCTACAAAAAGGTATTGGACCAGTCCAGAAGATAGGCAGAATATTAGTAGCCTTCTTTTTTTGGAAAAGACAGAGCCACAAAACTAGAATCACTCTCAATTTCTGAAACATATAAATCTGAAATTGTGTAACGCCCTCCTAGGATTACTCTGCCAACATATACCATGAAGGAAACCATCATGCAAGTCATACCTTTGAGTACTTCTGGAGCTCCGAATCATCTGTAATAGGCATATCCACGTTCACCACCTAAAAATGGTGCATCATAACAGTTTTCAATAGCAGGACAAGAAAGACTTCACTGGAATGAAGAATTCTGGCAAAAACCGATGAGCAAAGTAAACTGTGCTTAAGCAAAGTCATATGGATGCAAAATAATTTTACACAAATGTTAGAAAAACCTTTCAGACACAGAACATTTACAACTAGGAATGCGGTGACTGTGCACTGTTAACAGACTCCAATATTATCCTATTCCCGAAGCCCGACTGCTGATTTTAGTCAAGTTCAGTAATCCTGTATAAGCACAAAATGCCATTATGTTAAACACAAACACCCAAACTGACTTGCCACTCAGAACTCAAAAAATACGACAGCTTAAGTGATTACTGCAGGCTGCAGTCTATCTAACATCTCGACTAAACCACCATCTTCTGCAACATGTTTCTAACATGGTCTGAAACACATGAATTTAATTACCACATTTGAATGCAAAGTGGATTATTTAAAACAGCCGCAAGAAATCCCTTCAGTATATCTTCATTTTTTTACATTAACAAAATAACTATGTTCACCACCAGTTTTCTTGTAATGTCCTTCCTTAATGCAACTTTTTATCTGTAGCCTTAGAAGGTTACGTACTCCAATTTTAAATGTAGTAAGATTTCCTTCCTGTAGTAAGGACTCCTGGTGAGACCGCACCTGGAATATTGTGTCCAGTTCTGGGCCCCTCAGTTCAAGAAGGACAGGAACTGCTTGAAAGAGTCCAGCGTAGGGCTACAAAGATGATCAAGGGAGTGGAGCATCTCCCTTCTGAGGAGTGGCTGAGGGAGTTGGGTCTCTTTAGTTTGCAGAAGAGGAGACTGAGGGGAGACCTCATTCATGGTTATAAATATTTAAAGGGTGAGTGTCACGAGGATGGAGCCAGGCTCTTCTCGGTGACAAACAATGATAGGACAAGGGGTAACGGACACAAACTGGAACACAGGAGGTTCCACTTAAATTTGAGAAGAAACTTCTTCTCAATGAGGGTGACAGAGCACTGGCCCAGGCTGCCCAGAGAGGTTGTGGAGTCTCCTTCTCTGCAGACATTCAAAACCCGCCTGGACGCCTTCCTGTGCAACCTCATCTGGGTGTTCCTGCTCCGGCAGGGGGATTGGACTGGATGAGCTTTTGAGGTCCCTTCCAATCCCTAACGGTCTGGGATTCTGTGAAGATGACAACCATGATGATCTATGGCCCAGTGTTGGAGTTCAGGACACTGAAGTTGAACACATTTGGGAGGATTGGTACACTTGTTAGATTTGGAAAATATATAGCCCTGCAAAGAATCGGGCAGCTTCAGGCTCCTGGGGAAATTTTTAGTTTAAAAAAGTAAAAAAATAAATACTTCAGAGAGAACACTCAAACCTATGGGAAACTTCACGGGGACTTATTGGCATCCAAGAGTAGGAGTGGGGATAACCTGACCCAGGGACTGCGCTATCAGGCTGAAATCAAGCTAAACCTTGTTATTGAGGACAGCCACGCACGACTGGAGGTAGGTACAGACAGCAAGAACTGGGAGGACCATAAAAATTACTTTCAAAATGGGATGCTACAACTTGTATTATTTAAAAGGACCAATCACTAACATTGTCACTGCTGCCTTTCGACTGGCAGCAGCTAACGAAGGATTCGAAAGGGACGGTTTCACAAAGTAAGCAGGTTTTTGTCCTCTGTGGGAAGTGTGATAGCGCTAAGGGAAGTAATATCAGACTCTTGAAATGTAAGGATGGGAATACCGAGCAACTGAAGTGGGCAGCCAAACAGATTTATTGCATCATGTACATAATCTTACACGAAGTTCAGATCTTAAAGGAACGCTAATGGAAAGAAGAGAGGCGAGCTTCTCAAGGCACTTCTTAAAGCTACTTTAAATCTTCCAGCGAGCGACTGGAACGATGGCTCCTCCAAGTAGTAAACATAAGTGTCTCTAAATCAACCGGACAAGCATTGCAAAGGCAAACAGGGCATTTTCTTGGTGGCAGTGAGAATTTTTTAAGTCTTTGGAAAGAACGTCGGCTGGACTCTTTTATCTGTACTACTTGCTGGCTAGCACAGCACTGAAAAGCAGTAGTGAATTACAGTTTCACTCAACTCCTTATAATGATTCATCAAAACAATCTTTTGCTTGGCAATTATTTAATATGAGGTGAAGAAATACCTAATAGGCACTGGCACCACAAAGTCACACTACCGTGAATTGCTTCCTGTTTTCCCAGCGCGTGTTAAAATCATTCTTTCATTCTTCTAATAAAATTGTAAGATTCTTCATGGAACATGGGAGCTCTGTCCTAAGCCTTTTTTTCCCAGAGCACAATAAAACAAACAGATCGTAAATGAAATCATTAAAATGCTACGTATTTTAAGGGGCTGCTAAGATGTCAATTTAAAAGGACAGTTCCTGTCTAGTACCTGTATGACAACGGTATCTATACAAACAGAACTTTAAAAAAATAAAGTTCCCTTTATAACACTCCAATATTTCAGCCTTGACGTTAGGAGAAACAAAATTTGATGTTCCTGATCTGTTCCAGACACTAAACTCTTCTATAAACAGCCTGTAATGCTAAGCTCACAGATCTGTAATTTGAAGAAATAACATACACGAGTGTAGTTTATTGAAAGACAACATACCATCACTTCATATTCAGGTCCCAGCAGGTTTTCCCACTTGGATTTCAGCTCAAATGCTGGAGGGAGCGGAACTCTTCCTAAATATGAAAGTGAACATTAAATTTACAAGCATATTGTACACTCAGAAGTGCGTTTACTTCTACATACTTCAGGAAAAACTCAGTGTAAATAAAAGATTAGAGGGAATAATCCCAGAAAGGAAAATGCATTAAGATGAGCCTATCAAACGGTGCAAAACAAAAAAGTCTTTCTAAGGGAGACAATGCAGAATGTCAGCTGCTGCTAACGTGTGATTTATTCAGCTGCGAAGCAGAAGAGGTGATGCCTGCAGTGATGAGATGCGCGGTCTGTACCATCTAGTACTGTAAATAAATCAGTCCTTCAGGCTGCAAAACAAATTTCACACGACTTCATAATTTGTCGCTATAAAAATGCTCGCCACTCCAGGGAAGCGCTATCTCCCACCAAAATGAACCCCCTGAAGAAGTAAAACACCTGACAAGATATCGCCCTTATCAACGGGCTGTGTCAGCACAATGCAGCCACCGACTTTATTTATACATTTGGCAGGTCTAAAGGCTCGTCTAGTTTAATTAGGCTGCTAAGTAACATGAGCTTTAATATAAGCTCCAGCTCTAAACCAGTCTTCCGTGGGAACCTGGCTATCTTGACATTTATATCTTTTCGGCTTTCTTACTTATGCAACCCAGGCAGTATTACGTTCATGTAAGACAATTTGACAGAGCTAGACAGCAGAAAATGACTGCCTGCCCCGCAGCTGACCCCAGCGCTCATATAAAGTTCCAACGTTGAACTGGTACAACTCGAGCTCGAAAGCAAATTCCACCCAGCAGCTACAGCAGCAGCAACTGGAGGCTGAATTACCAAAAAACCTGGGTTTTTTTTCCACCCTCCAATGCCTGTAATACTTTGTCAGATGTCTAGACAAGGCACAGAGCACTCAGTATTGCCGAGGTGTCATACTGAAATTTGGGATTTTGCACACAAACCAGCGAGTAAAACACCTCAAGGGGAGAATCTGAAGACACAACGAGCAGCTCAGAGCCTACCAAAAGCCAATGCAATGGGATGTCAAACTGCCTTTGCTCTCAACACCTCTGTAGACTGCAAAGATAAAACAGGAGCTTTGCAATACAATCCTCATTACATCATTTGATAACTTTGAAGTTTTCCACTCATTAAAAACAAAGTTAACTCATACAACAACATAACCCATCTCTATCTCTTCCGCTCACTTTCTGTCATGTCAGATAGGCAAAATCTGTTGGATCTGCCCTGAGAAACCACACTCCTCAGAGCCTAACAACTGAGATTTCACTTGGAGATACCCAGAGCATCTTTAACCTACAGGCTCAAGCTGATACAGATATTGGAGCAATTCAGACAACTGTTTTCTGTCACCAAAAAGAAACCCCACCAAGAATAAAAACTTGGGTTTGTAAATACAGACCACATATCTCTCTGAAATAAATTATCTCCTTAAAAAAAAATAAAAATCTTTTTCAAGACAAATTTTCCCAAAATTCTCAGCTGTGAGTTGAGAGGTTTTTTTCCTCCATTAAAATTTAATTGAAGTTCTAAGGAGAAGTCTTTTTCACGAGTCTTCCTATCAAGCACAGGCTGTTCATCTTTTGTTCCCAAAACCAGAACATCAGTCCATTTACTGCTCCTTCTATTTGTAGAAATGCATAGGGACAGCAATTCCTTAGTCTTTTTTCCACTATTAGAAAGTTATAGCATGAACACATAGGACCTAGGCACCTGCAGTCCCCTGTGCAGCCAAATATAGATTTTAAGGTTCACCAGGAGTAATGCATCCTAGGGCCAAGCTCACAGTTCAGTTCAGTCGCTGTAAGTTGTGTTCAGTTGGCTGAATACAGATTTTTTGTCACTTCCAAAACACATTACCAAAATCTATGGGTTGCTCAGAGTAGGCGCTGATGCACGTCTCCATTTGAAGTCTCCCCTTTTCTTTCTCTCAAACACACTTTGAAGTCTTTGCCTGTGACTTCCTCAGAACTGTGGAAACGCTGGCTGAAGGGACTGGGATTCAATGTATTCAATTCCAGTGGTATCACTTAGTTCACTTAAAATGCTCCTTTATCCCCAAATGGCTTTTTCCATATGGCAGTGAATAGGAAGTTTCTAGAGTCTCACCCAGCTGGATTTCTCATGAGCTGTGCGCCGCGTCTTCCAGAGAGGGCAAGGCCTCAGAAACGAAAACGTTTCGCAGGGCAGCTTTAATCAGCAACAACTCTCAACATATTCAGCCTGTCCTTCTGTCCGTGCTTTCATGCAGCTTTTCATTTCTAATTAGTAAGTGTCAAGAATAAATCACAGGTGGATTGTAAAAAAATCATCTTTCCTGGTCCAAATTGTTGCCATCTTCAAAATCAGGATCTTTTCTTCTTGCAGTTTCCTCCTGGTTTTACACACTTACTATGCAAGGTTGCGTTCTGCGCTCTAGCGCACTTCACTGGTGCACGACTTTGATCTGTCCTACTGTTGGATATTCTTCCCCAGCCGTCTTCAAGCACCATCATCTTTCTGGGGTTTGAGTACTGCTGCAAGGCAAAGGGAGCCGCTCTGCGCAGTCTGCAGGCTTGCAGATGCAGCTGTGAAGTTAACTGCCTCTGCTCTGCTAAAAGAAAGTTTCGGGCCTCGTGCACGCTGCATCCTAAACCACGCTGCCTTTGTAACAGAAATGCTTGAGCATGGTTTCGTCTGGCCAGAGTTACTACTTAATACCTCTCCAGGAAACACAATTTAATAAGAATTTCACACAACTGGTCTTAAAGGGAAGTAATACATATTTTATAAAACATACCTATTACATTAAGCTTCTAAAAGCATTTCCAGAGTTTAGTCAGTGCCTTAAATTAGCAGTATTTACTTTAGCACCATTATAATGAAGTGCCCATCGCCATGTCCAAAATAAGCACCTATCTCTGGAATTTAAAGCTGGACATTAAACTCTATTCCCAGGTGAGATCTTATATACATCGTATTTCAGTACAATTTGCAACTAAGTATTTCAACTTCTTAACGTACACATTTTATAGTTGCATAAAGCTTTTGCAGACCCTTGTAACATAAAGTGGTTTTTCACTATGAAAACCCCTAGTTTTGATACTTGCTTACCATTGCATTATTCATTACTTAGTTTCAGAGCCATGCTTACTGCATCACCCTGCTGGGCCAAGCAGGGCCAGCACTGCTAGGTGCTATCAAGGGCAGCGTCCAACCGCAAACAAACAGTATCTTCAGGGCTTACATGGTGGTATCCCAAGACGCACTGTGCCTACAAACACATTACCCTGTAATCTCCAGGGTAAGGAGAGCTTGGATACACAGGAGAATAGAAAAGTCTCACAGCACACTTGCTCCATGATGCACTGGGGAATGCAGTGCAGATATGTCACAGTGCCGCTGCCAGGAATCAGCTCTGGATTGCAGGCAATGAGTCCCTGCCAGACCCAGGTGCATCTGCCCCATATTCCACAGAGCTCCAAGGAAGGGGATTACGAGGTTTGCACAACGCTGGAATTGAAGGGGAGCCACTCAGAAACACACAATTTGGTTCTGAACTCCCTTTGAGACAAAGGGTTTTGGAGTATTTATTGAGAGGCAGTGGATCCATATCAAAACAGTTTGGGTCTGCTATGAAAATGGCTCATAAATACAGTTTGATTCATGCTGATTATTAGGCATATCTAAGATATCTAGACAACACACCTTGAGACTAACATCGAGCCAGGTAAAAGCAATAAAGCCAGTTCCCAGCATAAACTGATCCTGGCATTGATATACCCTATTTGCACAGCACTGGGTATTAGGTAACAAATCCCTCAGAAAGTTCTCCTTGCATCAGGGCAGACATCTACAGCCTGCAACATGAGATAACCCAACCACGCGTGGTCAGGAGCTGATTACAGAGATATTGTTCACTTTGGTAGAAAAAGAAAATTCTTCATGCATAAGAAGCTCCATAGCAAAAAAGGACTGGGTGAGTGACACAAGACAGTGTGTGCTGCGCTTTTCTAGCCTCTCTTCTGCCCCTAAATACATCCTGTTACTAAGTCTGAAGTTATTCGTCCATCGTAACTATAATTCAGTATATGCTTTTCCATTCTTACAGCTAAAACAATGCTTTGATAACCTCACATCTCAGCCACTCAACCTCCTGTTTTGGCTTCTTATTTCTGGGAACATGCAAAAGTCACAACAAAGGATGTCTGGTTGTAAGGCTTGGACAGAAAAGTAAAACAGAATGGAACATCGGAACTGCTACATTTCTCTCGTTTCCAGGTTGTCTTTAATACTGACAGATCTTCCACAATCACAGCAAAATTGTTATTCATTGACAGCCATAATTTAGAATCCTCTATTACATCTACATATCTTATGAACTTCAAGGCATAAGGATAATTTATGCTGACTTTAACACAAGCTGTAGAAATTCACCCAGAAGTTCCTGTAGAAGAGCCCAGAAATCTGTGGGGGAATTGAAGGATGCCTTCTGGAAAGGCCTCCAAGCAGAAGTCAGCTAAAAACCAAAGCAATCCATGCCTTTGTGATCTGTCCCTACCTTTGCTGTTAAATACATGCGCCTAATTTGAACTTGTGTCCAGCTTCTGATTCCAGCTATCGGGTCCTTATGGCTGCTACACCTTTCCTGGACCAGAGATTCTCATCTCCCTTCACGGGTGTGCAGTCAACAACTTCCAGTTCAGCTAATAAGCTCAGGATAAGCAAGCCAGAAACTGCATGTCTAGAGACTGAACTCTAGTTTCCAACAGCGGCATGGGAAGAAGCAGGACACAACGGTATTGGTACCACGACGTAAATGAGTTGGGTCTGGGAACCAGCAGGCAGCAAGGAGAGGTTCATTGCCAAGTGGGGATTCCCACAGGAGGTGGACGTAACTCTTGGTTGGCTTCTTACTTTGGCACTCCAGGAAATGTCAGTGACCAGGAGCACAATAAACAGGACAAGCAAACAGGAGGAGCATGGCAGTTTACACGGCAGGTGGCACACAGGTGACACAGATGTTCATGGATATGGCATGTCTCATTCTTGTGGAAAATGACCTACAAATGGAGACATGACACACAACACGAGCCCTGTCCCTGCTGCTGCAGCCACCTCTGGTCCTCCAGCAAGCCCTACGCAGTCAAAACTCCCGAGGGAGGATGCTGCCACTCAAGTCATGGGTTGTAGGAGGCCAAGGCGAGCAGCTTGGAAGGCAAGTTCTGATGAAGTTACTGCATTGCCAAAAGAAGAAACTGTAGCAGAAGAAATTACGCACAGGAAATGAACAGAGTATTTTGGAAAGACTCTGCAGGTGCAGGAGCCTAAGACCTGTGAGGGCAAGAAGAGAGATATGACTATGGTAACACTGAATCAGGAAGTAAACGTGAACTCCCCAGAGTTCACAAACAAACAAAACATGGCAATCAAAGGGAAATCCCTAATGACTCAAAAAAGGACAAACTTTACGCAAAGAGGAGGATTCAGAGAATTGCAGGCCAGTCAGTCTCACCTCAACTTTACCAAAGCTTTTGACACCATTTACATCAGCATCCTCATTTGGAAACCAAGGAATCATGGGTCTGATGACTGCTAAATAGGCTGAAAACTGAATGGACCACTGGGATCAAAGAGAGCATTAACCAGCGGCTTGGCAGCCAGTTATAAGAGAAGGCCAATAGCTACAGAGGCCAATATTGTCCCAACATCTTCATCAGTGACCTCCATGACAACACAGAACGCACACCCAGCAAACCTGTGGACAGTACCACATTTTGGGGATAGGGTGGGGTGGAAGAGTTGATAGATCCAACACGCAGAGCTTTACTTCAGAGGGAACCAAAAGCATTACAGGGCAAAAGCTAAAGATGGAGAAAGCCACGACAGCCCATTAGTATTGAAAATAAAGACAATTCCAAAGATTCAGAATAGACACTGCAAGATATCCTATCCACCTGTTTTCTGTAGACTCTGTTTCTTCGCATTTTGAAGGTTATCCTTCTGTTCACCATTTTCCTCATTCTTAGAGTTCACGATAGTCTCGATCCCTAGAGCTCCAGGGGACAGAAAGGTTGGAACAGCTGGCTGCCCTGTGAAAACAGATGAAAAAATAAAAAATCAGATGTTGCAAAATATGTGAAGTAGTAACAACACCTCGGTAACTCTTTTTTTGGTCTACACAGCAGTTTTGCATTCAATTTTCCTGAATCCTTCATTTCTGTTACTTTCCATTCCTCCTTAAGTATCCCATTTCCTACAGTGGGCCCTCACAGAAATCTAGGATCATGTGGTGTGTAGTCCTAACTGTTAAATTAGGTAACTGTAACTGAGACATAGAATCAGTTGCTGAAAAAGGCATAATAAATAAAAAAGATGTTTACTTCTATCTGAAGGTCTTTCTGAAGACACAGTAGAAGATTTCCTTCTAAGTAAGGTAAGGCGCACAGTCTGTCCTGTGTTACGCAACGCCTCTACCACTTCTTGGTTGGTATAATCCTGTATATTAACTCCATCAACCTAAAACAAGAAAATGGCATCATATAATAGTAATCACATTACATTCTTAGTCTGTGCCATACACCGTAAGCAACATCCACATTATTTTGTGCAGAAATCATAGGGTTATCCACCCAAGACAGTAGTATTTGCAATACAGTCTCATTAAATCAGTTACATTTCACTAATGAGATATTTTCAAAATGCATCTTAAAAGGAAAACACAACAGTAATTTCTTCTATACTCATGGGGCAACCACAAAAAAGAATTCACTAATCTGATATAAGTAAACACTGATTCCTCCCTACAATTTTTTGGCTTACAAAAAATATCTTGAAGGAGTATTGTGGGTGAAGCTTCCCGGCAAGAGCAGTCAGCCCAGAGCTCTGTTCAGTTCATTATCACTGTTAGTTTTCCCATGGATTTCTAACATGCCCCACACAAGCCTATACACAAAACTGTTCATATAATCCACTCTGAACAACCCAACTCTTAAATTAATTCAGATGTTTTTATTTATACCCCAAATACTCTGTTAACCTCACTGTCAGGTCATGCATCAATACGGGCTTCTCCTGCAAAGCTGCAGAGAAAAGCACAAAGTTGTATCAATGTTTGCTCTGACAAAGGAGAAGCTGACTTTGGAAGGCCTGGCACAACACTCATTTTAAAAGTAATTTAAAATTGTATCTCCATAAATATTATCTCTTAAAACAAAAAGACTGTGTAATTCATTCCAGCTTGTACTGTGAATGCAAAATTGGCTATCATTCAATTCACTGTTATTCAATGGTTTTTAATTTTTCTACACATAAAGCTTGGGTTTTTAAACCTAAATTGTGACTATTAACATTTTGATTGTATCCACTCTATGCTACACAGTCATTAAGGACCATAAATAGTGTGCCACATCTTGCAAAATCTTAAGCATCCTCCAATCCCATTGATTTCCAAATAGAAGCTAATGCCGCTCATCTTTACTTCAGGCCAAAAGCCAAGATTCTCCACTCTGAAACATTTTAATCCAAATGCTTGCCTCTTTCATAGTTAACTACTATTTACCACTTCTTTGAATATAAAATAATATTTTAGCCACAGAAAGCCAAAGCCCATTTCTGTTACAAATCTACCTAAACAAATGCAAACCACCAAATTATTCCCTCTGCAAAGCGGAGACGGTTTAATTAATTTTAGAAAGTCTTTACTACGTTGATCTTTTAACACTGAGATGTCTAATGAACTATGAGCTCTACAACAATACGTAAGCAGATTATTTTACTTACAGCAACAATTTTGTCATGAACATGAATTTGGCCATTGTGGTCAGCAGCACTACCAGGTATTATATTTTTCACAAAAATCCCTGAAGGTTCTGTTGGCAGAAGGGGAAGAAGAGAAACAAGTCATTACATTAACCTAATTTATTTCTTCTCTAATTAAGATTTTTAATTACAGCATTTCTCATATGCTTCTTCTGTCCGCAAAGTTATGATTCTGAAAACCACAGCATTTGCATGTTACCACTCACACAGCTTGACAGAATGACTGAGGATCTGTGATGGAAAAACCAGCGCTGACACAACCACCTGTATGCTGACCTCACTTTTTTCCCTTAAAATGGCTCACAAAAGGCCACCTACTCCATGGATTCATCCCTGTGCTTACCCAGGCTTCAAACCACAATCACTTAAAGCCACGCTGCATTTGATTTCAACAGGACTACCTAAGCTAAAAGTAAAGTATGTGCTTAAGTACTTTGATCAGGACTTCAATCATCTTCTTGCAGCTAAAGAATTTAGTCTTTTAAATCCTAATGAAAAAGAATTTTTATTCAAAAAACGAGAAACACAAAAGTCTGAAAAGCTGTTATGTTTGACGTCCGATTATTAATTCTAACTTCTAATTAGAACAAGGAAATAAAATAAAAACCCCCAATCACCCAGCGAAGCAGCAATCCTTCCCTTCCACAAACTCCTGCAAAACCTGAGATGCTGATCTTTAATTCTAGCGAAACCTGACACCTTGTCCATCCTCTTCTGAACACCAACCTTCCTCAGACACCTGCTCAACATGGTTTGTCCAGTGCTGTACCAGGGCTTCAAACCCACCTTTTCCCATTGCCTCACACGTGCTCCTCCCCGACCCAGTCATTGCATGGGCCTGGGTTTCGTGATGCGTAACACAAGAGGATGTCCTGGGAATGAAGAGGAGCTGCACCACGTTCCCAGAATACTGGCTTGAGTCCCATGAGGATGGGGAGAGGAGAAAAAGCACTGCCCCTTTGTGTGCAACCAGATATTCAGTTGAGCTGATTTTCAAGATATTATCATTTGTGGAAGTGATAACTAAAAGACCAGTTAACAGCTCTAATTTAAAGAGGATTCACCCAAAAAATTGATTCAGTGTCCCCATATCCTAGCACAGTTATTTTAAGCTGTTCCCAGAGTTTAGACAGTGAAACAGCCACCTGCAAAGCCAAGGACAGCATCTTGTGAAGGTGGCGTACACAGCACACACAGCGAAGATTCGCTGCATCTCCTGCCTGGCAGAGGGACGGGCTGGTTCATCGGACTCTAACACCTACAATTCATTAAATAACCAAACTTGCATGTTGAGCTATTTTGTACGTACTGAAGATGCCATTCAAAAGTTGATGCAAACAGGGGACATCCAATACTGTTGTTATTGAAATTCTTCTTAAAATATGCTAAATGAATTGTGCCACATACATATCACAGGGGCAAAGTAAGGAACAATATCGACAGGAATGTGACTGTGTTAGAGTCTGTACGTGCAGGAACTGCCTGGCACAGTCCGATGTCTTGCACAGTAACAACATAAGCATGTAAAATTCTCAGTCCAGCAGTCAAGTGGGAATTCTTTTTTTAAGCCAATTACAACTCTTTACAACTTTTTGTGGCTGAATTTCACTTTGCGGCAAGTTCTCCAAATGTCTTTGTCACAGCTTTTGCAGGTTATACTGCGGCAAAGAAGAGCTATCCATTTTCCCCATAGTAAAGAAAGGGTATTTGAGAAGCCCCTGTCCTAGACTTTATGCAATCCTGTAGAACTCACCCGCATCACATGTGCCAGCATATCCAACAATTGTTATCCCCAGGCTTTGCCCATTCTTTTTTATAAGTTCAACATCATAGGTCTCAAAAAGGTTGGTAATATCCTATAAATAAAGCACAAGACATAAAAAAAAATCTCATTTTCCAGTACCATTACAATATTGCAGGTTAAGGTCTTCAGAAATGAACGGTGACTTTGATTTTCCTATTTTAGGAGGGATCGTATTTGCAAAATGTGTCACCCGAAGTCTTTAGTTCCTTTTTAAATTCTTTCCTAATACTTTCTCCACATACTTGTCAGAGGTATAATATCTATAGTTAGACTGCTTGGGAGCCATTTGCCTTTGGATTTCACTGCAACTTGATGGTAATAAACTTCCCAGTCAATCCCACAAAACAGACACTCTGAATACCATCAGAATTTCTTCTCTCCCTTTCATGTTAGTCCTGATAAACAGTGTTATGAATCCACTTGCCTCAGCTCTTTCTACCGGACAGTTAAGCAGCAAAAAAAAAAAAACCCAAACCCAACCAACTGGTATAAATACACAGTGTTATCACAGCACACATTTCTGTCAGGAAAAGCGATGCTCATTTCTCCTTGTTATCACCTATGAAGGAAGCGAGGTGCAGCAGGAAAGGGCCCTCACAACAGAAACAGGTTCAATGCCCTGAAAAAAACCATGTGTACACACAGTAGGCACATCTCTACTACAGAAGCAGTTGCTTACTTAAATGCAAATATGGGATTTTAGGTAGGTGTCTGAGCTTATTGCTTGCTTTTATGCTAGAACCCAAACCACAAGCCCACTACAAAAGTCAATCTTACACACATCAGCTCAACAAGTTTGATATGATCCTGTTCAGATTTGAACACCGCTAAGCTGCAAGGAGCACTAGAAGCCTCTGGGTTGTCTAAGGAAATGGGAAGCAAAAGACTCATTAGTTTGCATTCAGTGAAAATTACTTCTAAGACTTAACAGAGGAGAGCATTAATTCGTAAATACTTTACTGTTGAACTGATAAGACGACTTCTCATAACAAACTATACTTGAAAAGAGAAGCACATAACATGACCTGTTCTCTAAACCCTCCACTTACTACAATAACAAAAAAAACCCATAAAAGCCACGAGCTTTTATGATTGCAATATGATCTGGTCTTACACTGGAGAAGTGTATGGAAAAAAGTCCCCACAAAGCTGGCCTCAGTGTGTCCCAATGTGCAACCACTCTGCTCTGACATGTGTAAATCAAAACTGCAAGACAGAATCCAGACACACACCCACCCTAAAGATACTGGTGCTACCAAAGAGAAAAACAATTAAGCACAAAGACCTGGGATTGTAAGGGATAAATTAAAATACATAAAGCTGTTTGTTTTCAGTAATCAGATATGGCCAAAGGTATCAAAACCAAGCAGATGATCAGAGTAAGGTCTGTTAGAGCAATGAAATCAAGAGGGATAGTGTCACTGCCAACAGCAAAAAATGGACCAGGAAATTGGAAAACGTTTCTTAAGAGAGTGAACAAAGAGACGTTCAACCAGACGCCTGCCAAATACCAGCTTTGGGAGGACCTGTATGAAAAGCAGCCCGAAGTTACGGCTGTACCCATTTCACTTCCCACTGAAAGAGAAATCAATGCGCAGCCACCTCGTTCCCTATCACAAGCACCACCCTCCACCAGCCAACGCTCATTCAATGCTTTCCAACTCTCTTGCTCCATAGGATGGAGATGAAGAGAAGTTTTGGTGCTCTGTCACTGATCTTTAGGAGAGGGAACCGAAAGAGTAAACATGCCTATAGCAACATCTGAAATGGAGCTATGGCCTTTAGGGTCCTGCTGCTTTGACAATCAAAAGCCCTTGATTTTTGAAGTCGGTGCTCTGGCTCTACAGGAATTTTCTCTAAGTAATAGCACTGGCAGAATGCAAAACATTAGGAGTGGAGTCTGGAAAAATCCAAGTAGAGAGTCTTAAATACAATCAGCATGAGCAGGCTGCTAATATTGCTGTCAGTATCTTGGAGAGTACAGATAACGTAACTGTGACTGTGCATGGGCACAGGAAAACAAGTAGTTGCAGTTATTCTCTACTGCAGGAAATTTAAAGCAAATAAAATATTAATACAGAACTAAAAAAAACTAATATATTAAAAATGCCTTTCTGCTGGTTTGCAAAAAAGAAAATGAAAATAATGTCTACTCAAAAGCTCACAGCGAGTGAAAGTTCTCAGAAAAGAGAGAAATTAGATTACAGGAAAAAGTTATGCTGTAAATCAGACATAAATTAATAAATATGTTCAGATTAGCCACTATTCTTGACTTCATCAAATCTCTGCACCACAGAGGTTTCTTCAAATCCAAATATGAAGGCAGTGTTTAGTTCAGAAAACAACAGAAGACATTCAGAAAGGAACAGATGAAATTGCAACATGACTTTCATCCCCTCTAAACTACATCACAGGAATAAGGAGGACACTAAAAAGACACCAGAAGGAAGAACACTTTAGAAAGGCTGCGGCATCTATAATGCTTGAGGTCGACTAGTGACAAACAGGCCAGTCTTTAAGGCGGGGAAGAGAGAAAAACAGGAAACAAGACTAGGACCATGTCATTTTTTCCTAATACAGGCCTTGGAAAATGATAGAGGCAGAAGAGAAGTGCTTCATAATGATGCCAAGCCTCTAGGAAAGCCTTTTTTTTAGAGTATTAGGCAAGCACACTTTTAATACTCCAACCTTATTTACACAGATTACCCCCTCCTATCTCTCTGCCACTCACATTTCTTACGACACCAACCCCTTTCCAGAGAAGAGGAGCTCAAGGGCGACCCAAAATACTTTAACAACAGCTTCAGCCGCAGAAATCTTCCAGCGAGATGCAAGACACCAAGTTAATGGCTGCCTTTGCAGTAAGCGAGAAGGTGAGTTTGTAACACGACTGCTAGCCTGACCTCTAAAAATGGTGCTTCAAAGAAAATAAATAGCTCTTTTCACTCATATTCAAGAAACCAGACAAGAAAGAAAAGGCTACTCAGCTTCTACACCTAAATCTAAGCAGCGCAGTAGTAGCAGATGGTACACAAGCACAGCTTTGTTTATGTTTCGAGACCTACTGTACACTTAGTGTAGCATTTGTTGATTTTAATTACTCAAAACTGAAAAGAATGACTTCAAAAACAAGAGACTTTGATATGACCATGATAAGATTTGCTAAAACAAGTTTCAAAATTTTTAGATATATTTCCTATCACAGACAGTAGCGTAGACGATGAAAACATTACACTTCTGTTTCACAAAAAGATGATTGTGCTGAATAATTCTGGTGTGGCCATGGCACTCTGGATTTCAGACGAGGGGAATTCACAGTCAGGTTTTAAATCCACTTACAAATGATTAGCAAAAATGTAATGAGCTACGGAGGAGAACTAGAAGTACCATTTGTTGATAATGTTTATGGTCTTGGTAATTAAATTACCCACTCTGAAAAAGTTGGTCATTCTGATCCAAGATTATAGGTATTCATAATACATATGAAAAGGGGAAAAATTCTAGAAGGCAGAGTAATAATAATGTCCACTGAAATACACGCATATGATATCTGTAAAACCAAAAGAGGAGAAGCACTTTAGGCCTTAAAACCACTCTGTTCTTCTCCTCATTTCCCATCACAAGGCACAAACAAACTTTAAGATGTCATAAACAGCAGATACTCACATGGCCATTTTGAAAGGAAGGTAATGTAGTGACTGGCCAGCTCACAGGGGCTGGTGGAGTCTCCAGAATTTCAAACTTTGGGTCTCTTGCGACAATCATCCTAACAGAATTCCCACAGTTTCTCAGCACTTGCGCCACTTGTTCACTGGTCATTCCTTGCACGTTGGTCCCTCCAATCTGTAAGATGTGATCTCCCGTCCGGAGCCTCCCATCCTTCAAATATGAATAAAATTGCAAAAAATGTTTCCAGTCTTGACATAAAAGATCTCTTCCACTACAAAATTCAAACTATGGACAAGCATTTCATGGCCGTGAGAGCCAATGCAAGAAAATACTATAAAACTGACCACTACTGAAGAGTACTAAACAATTCAAGTAACTGTCTGCATAGTTGTACACTGTTTTCTCCACAGCAGTTAACAGTGCTAAACCAAGCTACCCAATACAGAGTCAGACACACGGTTGAAGAGCACCATTCCTAAGATATCAGTTACTTTTCTCATTTGGTAGAAAACAGAGGGCAGCAATGTGTTATAATCTCCCAAGTATGTTACACATTGCTGTTTCACAGAATACTCCTCATCGGATTGGGGTTAGAATAAAAAACACAGCATTTTGATTTAGGACTTTCCGAGTTTTTCCTAATACTTTTTTATTAGCTTGGCAATTCTTTCCTCATATGCCCAGCTCCAACTCAAGCGAGTAAATCCACTGAAGGTAACAAGACTCCACACAAACCATTTTTACATGATAATTACAATTCATGACCTACATCATCATTTCTATTACAAGCCAGCATTCACAGGAGCAAATCCTCAGCTGGTATTGATCAGCACAGCTCCACCACCTTAGGTGCACTGATTTATACAGCAATCGTAGCAGTTATTCCCAGTACTAACTCAAACTCATTTACAAACTCATCCAATTTTAACATGTATACGCGCTCATTATTTCACATGTTCTTAATGATGTCTCATTCAGTTGAAAATTATGTGGTGAGTTCTTAACTTACATGCTTCATTTGTAGCCAAAACACATTATTCCTTACAGCAAAACAGGTGTTACACAATAATTACAAAATACTCATTTATACATGACAGGTTTGGAGGGAGGCAGTCAAGCAAAAGCCAAGATTTTCCAGTTAAGCTCTCTGAATCTCCAGCTTCAGAGCTCTTCTACTAGCCTGTCCCGTTGGTTATGTTACCAGATCTTGCCTGCATGGGTTCCAGACCCCCAAATATTCCAATCTGTCATGACCAAATTCACATTAAAAATCCAAATCCATTTTGAATATTGCACGTGGTCTACTCCTGAAATGTTGCAACGCTTAGCACTGGGTCGCAAACTGTACCTGTGCAACTTCAAAAGGCTGTGAACTGGTCAGACCGCAAGGCAGGGACCAAAACCCCTTTAAAATGAAACTCACTGAAACCAGGACATCTTCAATCTATAAACTGAATCTTGCAATGCAATTACTGCAAGAGGGCAGACTCTCTTGACAATTTATTCAAAGTTTGTCCCTATAAATGGTGCCAAACTGTACAAAAGATGTACAAATTCATTATTTGTCCTCCCCCAAAATGACCAAAGGCTGAAAATATCAAAAGTGTTGAAAAAATCAAAAGGTTAGATAACTTTTCAGAATTTCTGCATGTTTGACGTTATAAAAGCCAAAGCATGTCTGAGAAACAACTTAATTCATATCAGGTGCTGACTTTGTCCTCAATCATACCTTCAACATATTTGTTTATAAAGTATATGTTGGCTTTCAGACTTTGATGCTATCAGCTTCCTTTTGTTTAAGTATATTAGTTTATTTTAAGACTGTCAAAACCAGTTAATTATACTTCATGATCAAACGAGAAGTGACATAATATAACAAATTACCCGATCTGCTAATCCCCCGGGAACAATTGTTCTTACAACCACTCCACTCGACTTCCCTCCTACGATTCCAAAGCCTAATCCTGAACCATCGTTAATCAGCTCAACGTCTTCGACGTGGCCCCAGTGAATCTGCAATTAATAAAAACAGGAGATTTTAATTTTGATCGATCTTTAATGTTTCTCACTTTCACACGTACGAGGAATGATGAGAATTAATCAGGGCAATTGTCCCTCTCTACCAAAGATATTGGAGATCTGTTGGATTTCGTTCAGTCAGCTTCATTTCCTTGTAAATACGCAGTGGGATTTCTCATCAGCTTTTAAATATACATTTTGTCCTTCCCTTTCAGAACAACAGGATACTGGGAAAAAGCTTGACTGAGAAAAAGCAATTTTAAGATTTTCTTGCCAAAATGAAAACTACCCTTTCAGTTTTTCATAAATCAAGAACACTGCAAACAACAGAGAAAAACAGAGGCAAGGAGCTTGCACTGGCCTGGTTTTCACTCAGCGTTGCCCAAATTCTTATTCCTGTTATTTCACTTACTCCTAACACCACCAGCACACACTGAATTAATAGCGCAGTGCAATATTCTGCCGTACTGAATTGGAAGCATGTTTTTAAGCTACGCTGTACCATGACCTTATGTTCTACAAGACAATCTGAAAATAACAAAGCTGTTAAGCAACCCAAACTCAGCCAATGTTTCTGTCAGATTAATATCTCATAGAAACCAAAATGGAACAAAGTAGGAAGATTTAAGTCTTCTGTGAATAAAGGATTTATTAGCATACTGAAAATCTTTGCCAAAGCCAGTTAAATATCATAGAGGAAGTTTAAAGACCCCCTGTAGAGAGATATATTTGTATTTTATTTTGTTAGTCTGTTCAGTGCAGATCTTTCAATGAAAAAGCAGTTAAAGTTTAATTCTTTAAAATTTTCAGTGCAATAAACAATATTGATTATCCACTAAAACCTTCAGATTTCACTAGCTCTGTAATAATCATGAGGGAAATAATTACTGAGAACGAGGAAAAGCACTGCTCTTAACCAGACTTTCATCAAAACCTACTAGTGTAATAAATTAAGGTTCCAGTATTGCAAACCCTGGATTTAGGTGTGCAGTTCACCCAAATTCAGTGAAGCCACCTGGACCATATGGTTTGAACACAGATGGAAGTTCAGCCCTAGCTTATTACACGTCCCAGTGACAATGTCTCCTTGTTCACAGAAACAAAAGGGTTCAAAATCAATGAAATGTGCAGATTAAAAAAAACCCTAATAAATGAACAGCGATTGAGAGGTTCTTTAACAGATACTGGTTTGCTTGTTTTTAAAACAAAGATAAGGCTTTTTGTTTTGAGCAGTTTAAGTTCAAATTGGTTGGGATATTTCAAGCAGCACTCATGATAGGCTGTGTTTACACTCTTTAAAGATGTAATCAGAGCATCTTTAATTGTTGAGCACAAGTAGGTTGCCACTGGGTCTACTCGTAAAATGCTTTACTCAGCCTATGCTGAACAGACCCCGCTGCTAAGAATATGTTGATCTACCAAAGCTTCTGCTATCCCATAAAAACCCAGGATCTATTTTATAACAACTTCACGCTGCTTTGCAGCAGAAGCCTTATACTTATTGCATGATCAGTCTAAATGAAATGTCATCACATACAAGATCCGATTAAAGAAAAAAATCCCTATATTTAAAGCTTGCTAACACAAACACTTATAACCACAAAAAGAAGTATCAAGCATAGTTCAAAATTTGATTTTGACAGTACTGCAACAACTCACAGTCTCAGGTGGATTTATATCACTTAATAAGACAGCCGAAGTTCTGCTGTTCCCTTGAACTGGCTCCCTAGCAACAACCAGATGTAGAGATCCCGTGGATTGCTGGAGGAGCGCAATAGCTTGCTGATGGGAAATGTTCTGATCCAATGGGGTGCAATTAATGGCCAGTATGTGGTCATTTTCCTTTAGTCTTTGATCCCTTAACAAAACATTAAAAGAAATTTTAAAATGCAGCATAGTGACTTCACGACGGGCTTCCGTAATTTAAATATGAACATGCAAAAGACACGGTTACGCAAGGTTAAATATTTATATATTAAAAACCCCCTCCTTATCAGACTGTCTTCATCACCGTACAAACTACACGCAATCCACACTCTACTGACCTGCCCAGCAATATTTTGTTCCAACTTTATCACAGTACAGAAATTTGCACAATCTTTTCCTTTGGTTCTATTCAAAATTCAAGGAAATTCCCTCATCCTTTCTTGATGATACTGAATTATGGGGCAGAAAAAATATATTTTCGTAGCTATACACTGAACCAGGAACCACTCTTCATTATGTTTAGCACTACATGACACTATCTGTAAGTACCCACCAGTCAGGCTATCATATTGTTTTGTATCGTTATTTAATCTAAAGATCAATGAGCTGCATACTTTTATTTTACTCAAAATCTGCAGTATCAAACTTCAGACATCAAACTTTCTTCAAGCAACACACAGTTCAACTCGTACCTTAAGATAATACACATCTCACAGTTAATTCACCCTAGTGATGAATTTAGACTTGCGACAAGAGAGAAACCATCGCTCATCTCCTTTGTTCAATATTCATTCTGAGCACGAGACCAAACTGTTACATAGACAGACACTGCCTTCAAAGCTCCGTAGGAATCCAAAAAAAAAAAGCCTCCAGGAGATCTTGTCTCAGAAGCAAAATGGGAAGCATGCTGGGGAAATTTACAAACTCCACAACAATATAACTGTTCATCTTAACTAACGCATTTTAAACTTCCTTTTTATCATGCGATGTTTAAGATGTTTCCCAGAAATCGCTTTCTTGGAGCACTAACCATATTTTAGATTCTCTCATCAAAGAAAGTGAGCAGCAGGTCATCAAATGCTGAAGTGAGATATTCACCCTCCTCTGACATCCAGATCAGTCCATCTGTCTCCACTCTGAAAGAGCCTAATATGCTTTTCTTTAAGCATGCTCTGGTGTGTGCTCTGTGGGCCCATAGCCATTATCATTCCAACCTCTCCCCACTCTTTTTGTCATCCTGCGTTGGCACTTCCTGACATGTGTTATTTTAAAAAGTGACACCAATGACTTGAAATCTAGACACATTTTCTTGAAACGTAATTCCAAGCACTGCATTTGTCTCATGCCAGCTCTGGTGGTTTTACAGTCACATTTTATTTTTAAAGGATTGCTCTGCCTTTTGTTGTTGGGCGAAAACCCACAGACAATACAGGAAGAAATTGCCTGAAGCCCTGATTCTATGATGACATCTGTGCAGGGATCTGTTGGGAGGACTGGATCTAAATTTACACGGGAAACAAACAGTAAAACCAGCTATAAATAGGGCATTGTCATGGGCACACAAATAAAGAAACAAGGTGGGGGGGGAAGTCTTTCAGGGACACAACATATAAAAATTCAAATGGAGGCTAGTTTTTATTTTCCTCGTATTCTTTTTGGAGTTTTGTTTTTTAATCAGTACTCAAGATGCTCTTAAGTGAGTCATCATTTCTGGAAATTCAGTTTATGAATGGCTCAGACATTTAAAACTCATCTGAAAATCTGATCCTCAAAACATGGGTCCATTTAGATGAAAAGCCAGAACTCAAGATACCACCACCCAAATATCCCACCAGATAACCCAGACAAACATGTTAGTCTAAAGAGTTTTCAACACGGAAGTCAGGGCTGTTCCCTTCATGGAAAAACTGCAATTTTCCAGTACAAGTATAAAGATCTCACCTGTCAGCTATGCCTCCTGGCTGGACTTCCTTGACAAAGATACCAACTTCTCCCAAGCTGTGATTTTTAAGGGCAACCACACTAAATCCAAGACCTCCAACAGAAGGCTTTTCAATCTTTATTGATTCTATTTGTCTCCCCTAATGAAACAGAAAAAAATTATTTACTAATTTTTAAGGCAATAGAATGAGCTAGTTTAAAATTTATGAACGCCGGGAGAATTATTCTACTCCTAAGACTAAACAAAAGCAGAATACTGAATATGTTATTTCTATAAAAGCTCCTCCATTTATTATTTTTAATATAGCAGAGTATTGGATATGCAAGCACTCTGAGGTTCTGAAACCTCAGGGAATTTAAGAGCTGCTTTCACACTTCATTCACATTATGAGATGAATTCCAAACTGGATGAAAACTATGAACAAAGTGCTGTCTAGAGCAATATACTCGGGATTTCTGGAAATGCTGCACAGCTAAACTAAATTACTTGTCTTTTGGCTCCCCTTGCTTTTAATGCTGATTTTTAGGAGTGCGTTCAGAAAGATTTTTTTATCAGCTTTTAAATAACGACATTAATTTCCTTCCCTTTCCCTGCAACTTCACACTTTATGCTAAAAAAAGTTTGCTTTTGCAACTGCCTTTCAGTTCTAATACAAGATTTCTGGGGTTGTTTACTGGGAAATATTACTTAGAGAATGCACTGTTATCACAGCTGTTTTATCCAAAATAATGGGCAGTCTTTACTGCTAAATCTTTTATCTGATGAGTTAATGACACACTAATGAGAAGAGTTATGCTCAAAATATTACAGATACATTAAGGTAGTCAATTAGCAACAGTTACTTAATATAGAAAGGCACAACTAACCAATTAAATTAATGGTTCAAAGTAACACAGAACAATACATTTGTGGTGTGAACGCCAATCCCACATGGGTGGATGTCTGCACCTGTAGAACTTCCATAAGCATCTGGTACATGCTACATCACATGTTAATGAACTCAGCATCTGTCTGGCAAAGTTAAGACATGCTAAATGAAGAGTTAAATAAAATATTACACGCCAGTTCTTTGAATCATTTGCACTGTTCGTATATTAACAAAGTTGCTACATTTCCAATTCAAAGTGTACTTGATTAAACAAGTTTCTGCAGAAAACATCCATTTTCAATTAAGTGCCATCAAATACCAAAAAAGTTTTCTGCCAATTGAAATTTCTTTCCTACATTGGTGTGTTTGGTAGAAAGTAAGACCAGAAAATGGCAAACAAAACAAACAAAAACCAAACCATCCCCAAATCACTTTCCATTGCTGGCATTATCTTTCACAGGGAAGTTATCCTTAGTTATCCTCTTACTGGCTAGGAAGCACCCCACTCCAAAACATACCCCAAAAGCCTGCAAGAAAAAGTTTGACGGTAAAGGAAAATAAGTTTTGTTCACTAAACCCGAGAGCCTTACCTTTGCCATCTGTTGGATGACTGCATTGAAGTCATTGCCTCCCAGGTTTGGAGGAAAGGCAGATGCTCTGGGTTCAGGTGAACTGCAAGGTGTATACACGCTCCCAGCAGCAACTGATTTGTCAGCAAACACTAGCAGCCCTCTTTTAGTAAAATCAAACTCTACTGAACAGTCAGGAGGCATGTAATTGAGCTGTTGAAAATGAAAAATGATGTAGAAAAAGTATTAAAGAGATTTCCACATATATCATCTTGTGTGAAGACAATAAAAATATACTCACCTGCATAAATTAGCCAATGTTAATATATAAGCTATAACCAAGCTAGCAAACCAAATTTAAATTGTTTTTCAGAAGGAAAAGTTCCATGAATATTTCAGCTGTGTTTCTACTCCACTGATTTTCTTCATCTCCTTCATTCTTTGATTTTTTGATTCTTTTGATTTTTTTGGCACAAAGAATCTGAATTTTTGAAGTCACTTAGTCTCTCAGGAGCCAAAGGCCTGGTTTGTAGTATCTCCTCCCCAGAGAGAGTCTAGGGTGTAAACTAACTACCAATGAACAGGTTATCACTGCTAGAACTTGGAGTTCAATGTCTAGTCCTGAACAGATAATGAAGAAATGCAGAAATATTCCCAGTGCGACATAATAAACCGAAAAATCCCACCCTGAATGAAACTGCTCATGAGGAAAATGCTTAAAAAGAATTTAAGGAAAAACAGAATTTTCTAGATATGGTAATCCTGAACATTCTGGATATAAAATCCACTACGTGATCCTAGATATATTCGCATTGTCATACATTTTTAATAGCGTGCAACACGCATCCAAGCTTTGGAAGGAAGGAACAGGAGCAGATCATGCACCTTATCTACTATTCCCCTTATGGGTCGAAGGAAGAATGAATGGCACAACCACTACTGCACCACCCAGGCAGGAATATGTGCAATCCATTTGGCAATGACAGCAAGGTGGCATCATCCCCAGATGCCCACCACAGCGTATCTGCAGCTGGGCAGGTGCAGTAACAGCAGAGACAGGGATGCCATTGCCTAGGGTACACCAAGTTCATTCCTGATTTTAAGCCTGCATGCCTGACTTTGCTCACTGCACAGTGAAAAACGTTCATGCAGATGCATCACTGATGCCCATGTCCACAAGATCTCAGTGCTGGTTGGTGTTATAAACTGATCCACACAAGTTCCTTCCACTTCTGGAGCCGAGTCATTTTAAAGCTAGCTTGGGTACGTCTGCATCAGAGCTTGGCAAATCTTCAGGGGTGGTTTTCTAGATTTTATTTCCCAAAACAAGTTAAACATTCTTGTGCAAGTCAGCAGGACCTAAGCGATTATGTCTTTTAAGGAGAAAAGATACTGCCAGTTAGTTGATAAACAGTATTTAGCTTCTGTGAAAAACAAAGGATCCCAACTCCAACTGTGTTCAGAACTCAGAGTACCAGAGCTGATGTCTTTTGCAGATTCATTTCTCCAACAGATGTGGTTCTCAATGCCTGCCTCTTCTGCATCCCTTGCAAAGACATTGCCCCATGACCTGCTTGTGGCAATACCACTTCTCATTTCAGTACCGACCGTGTAGATACCAGCTTGACCCAAAGAAAAAAAGAGGAAAAAAAAAAAAAGCCCAACATCCACTCAAACCAAGCTACAGCTTCTTAACCAGAGCGCCCTCATTAACACACCTACATATCTTATTTTACATTCCAAATTCACTATAGTTATAATTGCACTGATTTTACACTCACCTGTTCCTTCAGTTGCTTGATGGATTGCTGGAGGGTCAGGATCTGGTTAAACAAGGGGCTACTGAGTGTGTTGCGCAGAACAGTCAGGTTTTCATTATGCTGGGAATCTCTTTTCTCACGCAGTTTTGCTTGCAAACGATCAAGGATCTGCAGCACCTGCTGTTTATCTGCACCACAAAGTAGCACATGTTAGGAGCAGAGCTTCATTTCTCACTGCTTAACAAAAGTAAGCCCTTTCAGACTACATACCTGCAGCAGGATTTTCAGGCATGTTGAAGGGTATTTTTGGAATTCCTCAGAATAACCTGGATGAGGTTTAAAAATAAATAAATAATATTAATAACTTGTATACCCGAGCAGAATGCTAACAGATGCACAGTCAATAAATGCAATAATAAAATACTAAGCTAAGTGTAACTAATTCAATTAAATATACTACTACCTCCTGTTGTTTATCCCAAGCATTCAACAAAGCTCTCAATACAGCTAGCTGCACTGCAGCCTCAGCACATCCAAAAACCCTTCCTTGTTCTGTGTGCTTTTCCTTTCACACACAGGAAGGAATACGAAGATCTTTTTAAAATATGAGTAGAAATGCAGGTTATAAAAACAAACATCGGCCAAGAAAACTGAGATGCAGCTATGTTCAACCAAATTATTTTGAATATGGACATTAAAGTTGTGATCTTTTCACATACACAATTAAAAATCTTTGTATTATTTAGAAGACACTTTTCCACTTGATTAATTACTTGCAGACAGTATTCTTACCATGACAGCTCAGCCCTGCTGCATGGCAATACATGTGAAACCTTGCACCTCACTATAAAACAATGAAGTTCCCTCCACTCATGAGACAGCAGAGCATTAAGGCCCAAAATTGGTCAAATCACTCCCCAGCCCAACACGTTCCTGAGGGAGGTCTGTTCTAACGGCAGCCCGGGTGCTAAAAGGTGAAAGAAGCTCGTTCCTTTGCCTTTCTCTTTCCTATGTACGTGACAAGCTTTTAAGGAGCAGAATATCCTCTCTCACACTCCTCTGCAGTGCCACCGAGAACAGGTCTCCAACTGGGGCTGAGGTCTAGATGGCAGCATAAAAACAACAGACTTGCAATTAGCAGCGATGATAAATTTGTACCCTTACTTGCATGTTACTACATTGATGTGGAGCCTGTCATTCTGAAATCTATCAAGGGAGTTATACAAAAACATACATGAGAAACAAGATTTCTTCACTTAGTACAAGCTCCTCTGAAAGAAGTCAGCCATTTAATAGCACAATTTACATAATTTCAACTCTACCCAATGCACAACCGTGTAATTTCAGAATAATCTATTTGGAACTATTTTGGAACAAAAATAGCCATATACATATTAAAAAATAATATCTGTATTTACTTTTTTAATCTTGCCATTTGAGTAGAAAGGATCGTATGCATGTGAATGTAATACCAGGGTACACACATCCCGGGGGCTCTCTCCCAGCAGGACCTCTGATCCTTTCAGCTCTGCCTCTGACACTGACTGCGCTCACACTGAAAGCATCTTGAGTTCTGGGAGGACACTTATATTTACCAAAATATTAAGTATGCAGGTGAACAGCTTCTTTTTTCCTGAAGGGTCAGATTAAGTTGATTTACCTAATTTAAAAAAATAATAATGGAGGTGTGTCACAAACCACAATTTCAGATTTATGCACCCTTCACTGGATCAGAGCAGCTCTGGCTCCGAGATGAATTCCTGCAGAACTTGGTGGGTTTGTGTGGTTTCCACCCAGGGCCAAGCAAAATGAGTCTTTTGCAAGACTATTAACAGATTTAGGAGGTCATTTTAAATCAAACTCATAGCACGAGTTGAAGCGGCAAACCCATACAACCCCTGAAAGATTTTCAGGAATGCATCTGAACTTTTGTAAGTGCTGCAGCTTTATTTTCTTTTCCATTTGAAATAAAACACTTCTAAGAGCACAGCAGCCTTTGATTCTCTGCTGAGATCTGATTCTGAAGAACAGATGAAAATGCCATTTCCTTAAACATTCCTGAGACTTCATCTAAACCAAAGAGACAAAACTTAACCTTCTTGACTAAAATTATTGCATGAACCTTAACAAAACGGGACAAAGAAGATGGAAATGTGGTCTTTCTTCCCAATTTAACTTCCCTCCACTCACTTCCCTCCTGTTTTTCTACCTCACATCAGCAGTTTAAAAAGAAAAAGAAAAAAATCCAACCTAAAGCAAGCGAACCAAGATCAGAAAGGGATGCAAAATAACTACTGTGAGGAAAAGTGGCTTGAAACACCTTTAAACCAGCAGTAGGTTGAAGAAAAGATTAAACCCAGAAAAGCTATCCAGCATGGCAGGAAATAATGCCGACTTGACAACGCCATGCCCATCTAACAGCCGAAGCCAAGAGGCTGGTTCAGCTCTCCAGCCCTCTTTCATGCATTTTGTTCTTCCCTTCCCATCTGTGCCTGCACTCATTCATCTGATCCCATAGTGAGCTGGAGCAGGGAGCTAAACACGCAGAAAAAAAACCATCCACATTTTGGTAGGGTGAGCTTTCTGCCCAGTCCGTGCTCACGTGCCAGCGCTGGCAGGCCGGAGGGGGCCGAGACGTGCCGGGCAAGCGGGACCACACCTTGCAGCAGTGGTGGCGGCAGCAGCTCAGCTGCACTGGCATACTGTGCCATGAGAAATAGCCTGTGTCATTCAAACCCAGTCTCAAAGCGCCGCGCTGACAGTCTCCCAGATTAATCTTTTTTTCCATTATGGCGGGTGCAACAATAGCAATTAGAGCGATGGGTACAGATCCAAGACAGAAAAATTTGAGCAGAAAAATGTAGGTAAGAGATCTAGGCTCCAGTGAACATGCAGAAGTCCCCTGCAGAAGGAGGTATAAAAGAAAAAAGAGTAAAGGAAGTTTCAGCTGCCTGCTTGAGCTTCTCCAATGCATCCCAAAGGGCCATTGCAGATCACTCTGCGCCAGCGCACGCCAAAGTGGACCTCAGGTACAGTTCCTGTAACAGTTACAGTGTGCACAGCACTGTGGGATTCCTGGTGACCAAAGCTGGCCTCCAGCCAGCCTGAAACCATTTTTAATGCTTTTTCTTTTCTGTGCAATATGTTAAAACCACCGTCTTTGTTCTTTTCTTTCATGCAAAGAGAGCGGAGGAACAAAAAAAAAAGGATGTTAAAGTAAACAGCTCCTTCTGGTGTAAGGGGATCCCTGAAAATATACAGTATTTAAAGTTTTCAGGTAATGTGTAATTGAGGACAGCTCTCCAAGATCGGGTTTTGGGCCCAGGGAAACACACAACTCCATACAGTACTGAGCTGTTTATGTTTGGGGCCCAAGCAGCTTATCATAAAATGCTTTCCAACCACTGACACTAAGTCTGAGCAGGGTGTCAACAGACAGCTGCTAAACTAGGAGGACCATTCTCGATTATAATTTTGAAAAGTGATGCAAAACACTTCGATTTGTCTTGTTAAAATAGTGTGCTCATTCCGCATTCACCTTCCTTAGCTCCATTCTCTGATTTCTACAGACACTTATTTTACTGGTAGACAAAACTGCAAACCTCAGTTCAAAATTTATGTCACAATTCCCAATATAATTGTAAAATCATTGAGAAAATGAACTATTTCAGAAAATTTAGTTCTAACACCAGAAAAAACCCCACACTCCAGCACAGCACATATCTGGGTTTTTACTGTCTTCACTTTCGAGAGCTGAACTCAACGTGTTCTAGGGAGCGGGGAAGTTTCAGAAGGTTTTGTATGAAATCCCAAGACTTGGATCTTCTTCAAAAGCAGCCTGAGAAAAAAGGAATTCCCCCATGCTGATGCCAGCAGAGGTCATCAGAAGAGCTGAAAGAAACGTTTAAGTCTGCCACTGCCACCAGCCCCCTGCCAGATGCCTGCCACTTGCACAGACACGGGGTGCTCAACCCCGCTGCATCCCAGAGCCGGAGGGGAACACGACACCCCCAGCAGTGGTCTTGACACACAGCTGCCCTCCACAAAGGGCTGCTGAAAGACAGAAATAAGGGCTTTCCTGCTGGGGTCATGGTTTAGCCAGCAGAGATTCTTCTGCCCATTTCTCCCACCTAACAACTACAACCACTTCTGACCAATGTCCTTCAGCTTGGCCTCCACAAACCTGTGTCTTTCTAAGAGACATCCTGCTTCATAAGAGGCCCTCCTCACTCAGCGTGGGTGTAACTTTTTGGAACATTAAATGCCACGAGTCCTTAATGTACAAGTGCTAACTCCTGCTGTTTTTCAAGGGCTTCTAACATGGCCAATCTGAGCAGACCGCCGCAGGAACAGCCAAGGGTACATCCCAACCCAAAGTCACCTTTCTGCACTAATGCCATCGTAATTTTTCCTGGCACTGTTATCAGGAGTGACTGATACAGTGCATATCATATCTTCCTCATCAGAGGGATCTCTGACTTGGAACATTTCAGCCCAAACAGTTTAAAACTTGAAAAAGACAAAAGAAAGAGAAAGCAACGTTTGTTAGCGTGATCCTAATCCTTAATTGCCCTAACACAACATCGCATGAAACTTCAGATATTAAAAATTACATAGTTTACACATCATCAAGCAACTATGTACCGTGAAAAAAACAACACTATTCTAGCATATATTTTGCTGTCCTACACGTTATGCTCAGTTTTCCATCCTGGTAACATACAGAAGAATTCAGTCCAACCAAGCTTAGCATGCACACACCCTTCAGATGAAACCACCAAAACCTGCAGTTCTGTGTAACACTAGTCTTTATTAAAAAGTGCTATGAAGCACTGTTCCAGGCACTCAAAAGAAGGAAATGACCCGTGCTGTGAGTACCTAAACACAAAAACACCACACATCTCCAGGGTAAAGCAGGTGCCAACTAAATATTGTCAAACATAAAAAATCTACTCCATGGGCAAACCGAGTGTTACACACGAGTAGTAACCACAAGATGAGGAAAGAAAAAAAACCCAAACCAACCAAATCTGCACCTGTGACTACCAGTCCCCATGCATACTGAGGAGCCTTACTCATGCTCAAGGCATGCTAACTTTTAACAAGCAGAACCTGAATTCCTGAGAACTTCAGCCTGGAGGGATGCGCCAGCGTGGGTTCTCTGACCTCTAATAGATGGGTGAGCTCATGCTGAAGCCATTCTCTGTGGAGCAATAACATGGTCTCAGAAGCCTATTCTCACAAAGCTTGAGGAAAGAGATCTAAAAATTGTCATATTCTACTGAAATTAGC